TCATTGCGGAATTCACTTCGCCATTCCCAAAGATGATGAACAATCAAAGATAGAGGCGGTGTAACCAAGCAAGAAACTAGTGAAGGAGAAAAAGATCATACTGGTATTACTTTCCCACCAACGACCACTGGAGGGGTAAGTATATGTGTTTTTGGGTTCTTCTCAAAGGATATGGTTTTGTTTGTTAGCCTCTCGAAAAACCCATCACTCAAAACTTACCCTATCAAGAACACAATGGCAACAATAGCAGGAACTGTTAGCCGTACTTTGTTGTGCAAAAGCCACCAGCCATGTACCACAGAGAAGACAGTTCAATCACAGAGTGATCAAGCATTCAATACCTATATTGTTTCCAAGTATGACTCTTACTTGCCAAGAAGATACTGTCAATAAGAAAAATTGAAGTATGTCCTGTTTGTGTTCAAGCTCACCGTTATATGCCTGAATGCTAAAGAGAAAGGGATCCACAAGAGATCTCTAATCACCAGCATGAAGCCCAATCTCTCTGCAATTATGGCCCACCTAAAAAATGAAAAATCAATCAGCTGACAGTGTATTTAGAAAGATCATAGTAAGTGCGATAATGGAAATGGTCATATTTTGGTAAGATGAATATGTTTCATCACGACACCATGAAACATATTCATGTCATAAGTCAAAAAAATTTATTTTTATATTAAATTCTAATTACAATATTCATATTTATTTATATTGATGTTAATTATAATTAACTGAAATTTTAATTGAATTAAAACGAATAAAATAAAATAAATGAAATTTTAAAATAGTAAAAGTAATACTATGAAATTTCATAACTAAAAACAATATAATTCAATGTTCATTTTAATTCATATTTATTTATTTTAACAGTAATTATAATTAACAGAAATTTTAATTAAATACAAAAAAATTAAATAAAATACATGAAATTTAAAATAGTCAAAATAATACTATGAAAATATTATTAGTAATAAAATATAATACAGCTTTTAACATAAAGAAAATTAATAAATCCAGACATTAAAAAAAAACATAAAGAAAATTAAAAATGATCATACTTCAAATTTTTGAATGTGTTAATGAATTTTAGTATGAAAGTAAAATTTAAATGCATGGTAGCATAAAAAAAAAATTATGTAACTGTGTTTCTAAAACTGTAAAGAGAAAAATATTAATTTGTAAGAGCAATATAGTACAAAGAATTTTTTTTATTATTATTAAATGTTCACGTAAGAAAAATTACTAAGTCCAATTTAAATTTTTTAATTGAAGTCAAAGACAATGAAAGAGTCACACTTTTTTTGACACTATAGAAACAAATTTTGAAAATTCAAAAATGTTATAATCTGTCTTCTAAAAATATAATAATAACAATAATTATATTATTCATTATTTGTATAACAAAATATACATAGTCGGGTATGTAAGTTGTTAACAAAAAATAGTGATATGTAAATTTTGTAACATATACTTAAGTTGAACTACAACTATATAACATAATCAAATAGAAAAACACGTTTGATAATTCATCATTTAAATTAAATGTTTCTAACCCAAAAAATTGGTGGAAACAACATATTTAACGTATATTACGTTTTACTTGATAAAACGATGTTAAGGTTGCATCACAAGATTAACATCTCAAAATAACAAAAAACGGTAAGCAATAGTAGTTTGAAATAAATAAAAGTGGTAGGCTAAAGAGTGGTCTGAAATCACAATGATACTATTATAGATGAAGATGAAGTCACCTTAGTTTAAGTATTGGATATGTAAGTGTTTTGAAAAAAAAAAGGAATTAATAAAAATATTTTCAAAGATATTTTTAAGTGCATTTAAACATTAGATTATGCAATCTTTAAAAAAAGTTCTTAAACTGTTCATTTTAAAAATGAGATACAATATAGATTTTATTTTTTTGTCAACGAGATACAATATAAATATTAGTCAAATTTTCAACATTTAGAGTTATTTTCAACTGTTATGATTATAAATATTTAACCTCTATAAAAACATAATATAGTACCAAAACCCACGTAACGCGTGGGTCATTTTTTAGTTAATATAGAGAAAGAAATTAACAAAATCATAACTACCCATCTCTATCTCTACACACGTTGACGGTCGAAATCGATTACTATTTCTTTCTAAATCCTATTTTTTTTCTTCACTTTTTTTTTCTTCACTCAAGATTTCGTAACAGATTTTTTTCTTTGAGATATTGCCGGAGAAGAAGAAGCAATGCTTGCTGTTTTTGAGAAGTCGGTGGCCGGCGTGAAGCTTTTTGGGATGACGTTTCTGGTTGGGGAACGTTCGGAGAATCTTCCCACAAATGATTCCGTATACGCCATCAAAGAAATTGCAAAGCTGTTAGGATCACTAATTGGGCCCTCGTGGGCTTCGTTTTTGGCTTAGAGCATCTCCAACCCACCTCTATTTTTTTTTTCCATACTCTATTATAGAGTAAAATTCACTCCAACTCACCTCTATTTTCACCTCTAAAATAGAGATCTCTATTTTTTTCTCTATATTATTCTTCTATAATAGAGTTAAAATTTATAGAAGAAAAAATAGAGGAATACATTGGACTAAAACTCACATCTACTATAGAGTTCCTCTATTTTAGAGGCAGAAAATAGAGAAATACATTGGAGATGGTCTTAATGTTTAGGTCCATTTCTCATTTTATTGTCTTTGTATTTAAGTTTCTCTTCATCGTTGTACAGTGCCATCAAATATCCAGTGTCTTTTTCTACCTCAACGCCAAAATCTATATATATAATGGGAGAATTATCTATCCATCTAAGCTATCCACATCATTATCTATATCATTTTATTTTTGTAGGCTCCACATATATTATTTATTAAAACAAAAAAAATAAAACTAAATTTTATTCACACACTTCTATTATTATCTTTCATTAAATAAAAAAGAATTTACAAAAAAAAAATTAAATATTAATAGAAAACGATAAAAATATATATTTTAAACAAATATAAAATTTGTGAATAGAGATTAAATAAGTATAAAATTAGCTATTATATCTTAACATAATATCACTTCCACAATAACAAAATATAACTAAAGAAGCTTATCATATATCTTAATGGTACAGTAATTATTTCTGAGAGTTACAATTATTTGGTATAATAAAGAAAATAAGAATTAAAAATTACCAAATTTAAAGGTTCTTACTTAAAATAAAAAGTATTTCATTTCCGAAATAATACACAATTAAAATTTGAGAATATATTTGGTAATGTTAAAGTATCAATTCATGATACCGATTAAATTATTAGAAGAATTGAGTATGTGCTATTATTATTTATAATTATAATATAATATAAACAATTAACATTTTCTAAATTGAAAAAATGGTAGTTTTTAAAAAAATGAATAGCTAAAAAGGAAAAACTAAATATTAATAAGTGTTTAGGAAATTAACATAGACTGAAAAAAACTAAGGTGATTTAAAATAAAACAAAAAACTATTCTAAACATCACAAATAAAAATAAAATAATCTAATCAATAATAAACTGTAAGAATAATATTTGAGAATGTTACTTGGAACTTAGAGTAGTGATAGTAATGGTAGATCGAAGAGTTTTTAATTAGAAATAAAGATGATTTTTATTTTTGGAAAAAAATATTTTTAAAATTAGAATAATTTTTTATGCGCATGTAAGTTTCACATTTTAGAAAAATCAAATTTAAGAATATTATCTAAAATCATAATATATGTCAACTTATATATGTGAAAAGAGAATTTTATATTTTCAAACGATCAAGATAAAAGTGCAAGATTTGACATTGAAATCTGATGTACGTGGTCAGAAATGAGTTCATATATAAGATTTGTTCTCTATAAAGCAATTTCACATGCACCAAAACATGGTTAAAAAAACTTCATGACAAATATCTCTCCAATATATTTTAACTTTCACTTAAATGAAGAAGACTATGCAACTTATAAAAAAATTGAATATTGAAATATAGTAAAGAGGAAATAGATATGATCTGTTTTGGGAACCAATTTGTAGTCGAGTATATTACATGTGATTCATTAGATAGTGAAACAAAAGTAGATGTGGAGAGACGACGAGTGAATCATCCAAGATAACAAGAGAAATGTAGTGAATAACGTAATTATTTTCTAAACTTTGGACTAAGAATGGAAATCATTAAAATAAAATCTCTTCAAATTCGAATGATTATAATTTTATATATTAAAAATACGTATTGATAAAAAATTAAATTAAAATCCCGCACAACGCGCGGGTACATAATCTAGTAATTTAAATTTACTACCCAGACTATTAAATTTGAACGTAAAACTACATTGACTTAAACAAAATTCGTCGACCATTTGTTTTCGCTCACTTAGATGACACGATGACGAAAACAAATGGTTGACTAATCTATATCATAACATCTATCTCTAACTAACAGACGCACTCTCTACAACCGGAGCTTTATGTGAAAGAAAAGACCTGGTAACATTCTCTGCAAGTTTCTGATAACAAATACAAACTTGAGCTCCGGCACCATCTTCCAAATTTATCGCCATTGTTCAGAGTTCAGAGAAAACACTCGTGGCTATGACATATTTTGTTGGAAGTGAAGATAATATCTGAAGAATCAAAGCTTCAGGCAACTCACTGATCCTGTCCTCCCTACCAACATCTCGCCGTTTCAAACTTTCACCACTAAAATCAAAGATTAAAAGTTAGGGTTAATTTGGAGCTTACGGTTTAACAACAGTTTACAAAGGACGCAGAGAAAAGACACAAACGAAACAAAGAAACAAACCCTTGTTCCATCTTCTTTAACAGAGACTATAATTGTTTTGCTGGTAAAATTCTTCAGATTTGTGCCTTCCCAAGCTCCCAGTGCTATCCTATAACAAACGTAACGAGAAATATTGAAAAAACTAGGGTTATGATGGTTTGGGCTGAACCGATCGCTTTTGTTTACTACCAAACCATATCCAATCCAATCAGCTCAAAAATATGTTACAGACCAATTTAATAAGAGGCCAATTTCTATATATGCTTAATTGTTTATTATAATTCTTCTGTTCAGAGCCAATGATCCAATAGTGTGAGATGCAGCAAAATGTTGATAATCTATTAGAGAATGATTTGGTTGGCTTATACTAATCTGTGTTAGTTAATGATTCACTTGAAATCAATTGGATTCACTATTCAAAACGAAGCTTGAAGACTGATTGAAGGAGCCGAAGAAGAAGGGTTCAGACTTCTAGAGTAGCACAAGCCAAGAGTGTTTGATACACTTGTTTCTTCATCTTTTCTATTGGACTATGGTACAGATAGAGGCTCTCAGATTGTGACTTAAATAGTCCCACGTGCAGGCTCACGTGCCAAGGTCGTTAGGCGGACTCTGTTTTGAAACAGAGGAGAAAAGGAGCTAGAAGTAGAACCATCTTGGAGATCCAAACCCAATGTAAATCCCTCTAACCGGTTACATATAAGATGAATCAAACTCGAACACAAGGTGACAAGAATTTGAAGCTCTGACCACACCATCCAATTCATTGAGCATCATACGTCTTTTTTCTAACTTGTTGAGCTCTTTCGATTCAATGGGATTTGTGGAGAAAGTTGCCTTCTTCAACAGTCTTGCGTTCTTTAGAATGTATGTAGCCACTTCTTTCTCTTCTTCTCTTTCCCAACTGTATCTTGTCCACGCAAATGTCTCGAGGTGAGACAACAAACATTTAGGAACGCACTTTGGCTCATTCCATTTGCCGCAGACCAAACCATAAATTTTATTAAAATTTAGATATTCCTGAGGCAAAAGGGAATTCAATGCATATTTAGTAGAACACCAACGTTATAAAAACACATAAGAGAGACCATCAAAACTAGCTAGCTAGATGACTGATAATGAAATGTCTTACATCAATGAGCTTGAGTACTTGTAGTTTAGGAGAGTTATCAAGCATGACCGTAAGTAGATTCCACCACTCTGCTTTACCTGTACCAATCTCTAGAGATACCAGCTGATAGAAGATACTTCCAATAGGATATGTAATCTATCCATGATACAATAGTATATAGAAACATTAATGTGATACACATAAACAATGTTATAACCAAAAACTCAACCGCGATAATTAAAAACCTGAAAGGTTACCTCCAAGGGTGGTGATAGATCCAAGGAAAGATGTTTGGCTGCCTTTAAAGAACCAAGAAACTTCTCTGTGATTATATAAGAACCATCAAATAAATATGCCTCAACCAGCTCCGGTGCATTGAGACATAAGTCAAAACCTTTTAACCCTTCAATTTCCAAGAAATTCAAAGAAGGAACGTTTATCATGTATCCTCTAGTCCCTTCTCCATGACTGTTTTCACGAATCCATAGTCTTTGTAAAGACGGCACCGAATTAGTGAAAGTCACAACATCATCATAAGTGCCAGTTCGATCCATAACCAAATCTTCAAGAATAGGGCATCCAGATAAAAGGTTGCAAATAGATTCATCATCCGTGAACTCCAAAAATTCAAGATGCAGAGTTCTAAGAGACTTCATAAGAACCAGAGAAGGTATATCAACAAGAAAAGACTTGAGTTTCAAAGTCTCAAGTGTGTTACAAGTACACAAGCTACTAGGAAATGTGAATCTTTCTTGCTGAGGAAGACAATGGAGTACCAATTCACGCAAATGTTGAGCAAACGCAATTCCAACCCAAAGTCCAATATCTACAGGACTAACTTCATGTGATCTAAATTTGAGATGCAAACTTTCTAGAACCGGAGCTTTATGTGAAAGGAAAACCTTGCAAACATTCTCTGAAAATGTATGGTGTTCACTTTCGTAATCCTCAGAATCAAACTCGAGATTTGGGACCAACTTCCAAAGAGACCGCCATTGTTTAGACAAAACACTAGTGGTTATGACAGTTTTTGTTGGAAGAAAAGACAGTATCCGCAGTATCAAAGCTTCAGGCAACTGATTCATCATATCCGCCTTCACAAAACCTAGATTTCTCGAACTTTTCACAGCCAAAAATCATAGAAGAAACTATTAACATTTAGAGTGGTACCGGATTTCAAGTGCTCTAAACATAAACGAACCTTACCGTTGTTCCATTGTTGTTAATAGAGACAGCAACTGTGAAGATCACCAACTGTGAGATGAGACGGCGGTCAAGGTTGCAGAATGATCGGTAGGGTTTTTTTTATGACGGTAAATAAATTTTGATATTTTTTTTATGCCAAATGATCACGAAGAGTCGTATAGAAGGCTCCTCCTTGTGCCACAATAGCGAACGTCAGCACATCCGTAAGGTAAATTTGATACATGACCAAATTTTCAAGATTAGGACAGCCAGATATAAGGTTAGTAGGTTACGAGAAGATTCATTGTGCTTGAAATCCACACAATCAAGGTGCAGAGTTCTGAGGGACTTCTGATATGTTGTTGTTACTCCGAATTCAAATTTACACACGAACAATTCAAACTCAGAGATATTTATTGAAAGAGAAGATCCAAATCGATTATCAAAGCAATAAACGAATCAGATCTGAATAACAATCGTTTGCTCAAACATTTAAACTCACGACTACGATGATCAACATAGATCACTCTGGAACATCTCCAGATATGACTCTCTCTCTCTCTCCAACAACCCAGATAAAAGCATAAAGAGGAAGATGATCTTCAACGGCTATATTAGCCACTCGACTCAACAGCAAACCCTCCTTCCGTCTCAGAGTCTTTGCTCTCCTTCTCTTCTTTCTCGAACCCTCTCTTTCCATCCGCGTCTCCTTCTTCTTTTGACTTCTGCTGATGTGGCATTGACTTCTTGCGGTAATACGATCCACAAGAACCGAAGAATACTTGAGAATCAAGGTCTCAAGTGTGTATTACTAAAGCTAAACATGCTACTTGGAAATCTTAAATACCTTTTTAAACCAAGATCGAGCACCAACTCACGCACATGACGTTCAAATGCAATTCCAGTCCATATTCCAATATCTATATCATCACATGCTCGTCTAACGTCACTTTTATCACTAAATTTGACATGAAAACTCTCCAAAACCGGAGCTTTGTGTGAAAACAAAGACCTGCCAACATTCATGATATGTAGATTTAAACACAAGTTTGGGTCCTATCTTCCAAAGAGATCACCATCGTTTAACATATAACCAAAAAAATATTTCTAGAATTGAAAATTCTTCGTTAACAGAATTTGTGCCTTCCCTAGCTTTCAGTGCTAGCGTATAACAAACGCAAACGAAAAATGAATATCATAAAAATTAGGGCTATGATGGTTTTGGGCTGAACCGATTGGTTTTGTTTACTATCGGACCGAATGCAATCCAATCAGCTCAAAAATATGTTACCAACCGATGCCAATTTCCATATTTTCGTCTGGTTCAAAAGTGTTGATACAGAAAACTCAACAATTCCACAATGAATCAACAAAATCAAAAGATAGATTGAATCAACGTTCATAAAACGAGGATTCACTTCTCAAATCACTAGAGCATAGAAGAAGAAACAGCTCAAGCTACAATGAGGAGATAACCAAGAGAATTCATGGAGAATTCTCAGAATTAACAGAGAACAAATGAAGAAGAAGAAGATTACAATTTCAGAATTTTCGCATAATGATCCCAAATCCGATTTGCTTCTGTTTTACACGATTCTCCTCTGCACTTGATCTCCACCGTTGAGCCCAAGTTCTAATCTCCACCCTCCACGTGTCAATCATTTCTTAACCCTCCTTTTACTATATCAAGTGTTTTGCCCCTAAACAGAACATTGTATGGAACAGTAGAAAAAAAAATCATCTTGATCTTCACTATTGACTTATATTGATCCTCAAAATCATAAAAACTGATGATTGTATCATAACGATAGATAAACATCAGAAGAACTTTCAAGTTTCAACTCCCAAAGACTAGCACCATACCCAAGAACTCAAAACCGATCTTACCGGTCAAATCAAAAGGCTCTCTGTGCTAAGAAGAGTCTGATACATCATACGATGCATCGAATTTGAATACAAGGTGGCATGAATTTGAAGCCCTGACCAATCTGTGCATGAAACAGTTATTGGTATATACATCTTGTAATAACAATGAGATAACCAAAAAACTCAATAGCGATTAAGTTACCTCCAAGGGTAATAAATCCAACGAAAGACGTTTGGCTGACTTAAGTGATCCAAGAAACTTATCGGCGATGATAAAAGAACCTCCAATAAAATATGCCTCCACCAGCTCCGGTGCATTCAGAGAAAAAAAAAAAAACCTTTTAACTCTTGGATTGCCAAGTACTTCAAAGAGGGAACGTTAATCGTATATCTTCTAAACCCTTCTCCAAATCTGTCATCATAAATCTCAAGTCTCTTCAAAGATGGGACCTCAATATCGAAATTAACAACATTACCATAATAATCATCTCGATACACAACCAAAGTTTCAAGAATAGGGTAACCAGATAACAAGTTACGGATAGATGCTTCATCTTTGTAGCACACAGAATCAAGGTGCAGAGTTCTAAGAGATTTCAAAAGAACCGGAGAAGGTATATCTACAAGAATCAAAAGTATGAGTTTCAAAGTCTCAAGTGTGTTACAAGTACACAAGCTACTCGGAAATGTGAAGGTCTGCTTCGGGCGAACACAGAGTACTAATTCACGCAAATGTCGAGCAAACGCAATTCCAATCCAAAGTCCGATATCTACAGGATTAACTTCATCTAATCTTAAACTGAGATCCAAACTCTCTAGAACCGGAGCTTTCATGTGAAAGGAAAGACCTGGAAACACTCTCTGAAAATGTTTGGTGTTCACTTTCGCCGCAATCCTTAGAATCGAATTCAAGATTTGGCACAAACTTCCAAAGAGACCGCCATTGTTTAGACAAAACACTCGTGGCAATGACAAGTTTTGTTGGAAGAAAAGACAGAATCTTTAAAGTTAAAGCTTCGGGCAACTGATTCATCCTATCTTTATTCATAACACCTCGATTTTGTTACAGAGACAACAACGGCAATGCTTTTCCAGTGTTACAATCGTATTTCAAACGCTCTAAACGCAAACGCGAAAATGAGAAGAGATAAGCTCACCAATTGAGAGACTAGACGGCGGTTGAGGATACAGAATTGAACAGCCGGCCGGTAGGTTTTGGATAATGCGGCGGCGGATACAAATTTTGCTTTAATATGATGACGTGTCAATGATTATGCTAATTTTAAATGGTACCTAGTTTGGGCCATTAATGGGCTTAACGTCGGTCAACTTTCCCCAGCGACGGTAGAATTTGTAGGTGAAAAACTCATACTCATCCATGATAGATTGATTATTGATAGCCGTTCTGATAAATCTGGTGACTTATGTTAAGTTTGATGGGTTTCCAACTTAAAACCAATTGGCAATGAGTGGATTGGCCCAAGTCCCTTATATACTACTCAAGTCTCTTCTCATCTTTCCAATGTAGGATCTTTCTCGACACGCCCCTAGATAATGACTCTTCTAGCCATTAATCTCGACAGAATCCATCACGCCCCATCGAGATAATGCTCTTCTAGCTATCTCGACAGAATTGAACCTTCCTTTGGGTCATCATTTTCCGGGCCGGATTAATGGGTCAGCGTATGGATCGGGTTCTGATACCATGTTAAGTTTCATGGGCTTCCAACTTAAAACCAATTGGCAATGAGTGGATTGGCCGCCCAAATCCCTTATATACTACTTAAGTCCCTTCCCATCTTTCTAATGTGGGATCTTTCTCCACAAAACCAACAAAATGATTCGATACGTAGCGCAACCCTCGATGAGAGGTGTTTACCGAAAGCTCGGCAGGCGGAAAGCTCAACCATTTGTAAGTGAGGTCTTTGCGATACGCTTGAATAAGTTTGGCTCTGACATTATATGAAGTTCTGAAAGAAGTAGCATGTAGTCAAAAAGAATGGGAAGACCAAACAAATTCATTAAGTTTTCATCTTCGGCAGAAATCCTGATGTCAATACATATCGACTAGTAAGCTTAAACCATACATGAATAACAGAAAAAAGACATAAACAAACAAAATTGTAATTTAGAAAGAACATGAAAAACCCATAATATACAGAACATAAGTTAAAACGAAACCCCATTTTCACCCTCAAAATCTTAAAGAGTCAAAACAAATGGCATAAAGAAGAAAACAACAATGGTTAACATTGACTTTTTTTTGTTTGTTTTGGTGACTTGGTTTGGGGGTGTTTTTCCAAATAAAGAAGACAGATTTATTAAATTACTAATAAGGATTGTAACGGCTTCGTCCTCTACCATTGTCACTACTCCGTTTGCTGCTGCTGCTGCTGCTCGAACCGCTGCCTCCCCTATATGGTGGAGAAGGCCTTGGTGGTGGTTGTGGCATAGCTGCTAGTCCAGGCTGTTGCCTATTACATTCAACACATCAGATCAGTACACCTATCTTATAGCAAACGCATGAGATCCGTATAGAGTATAAACAAGAACTTACAAGACGTATCCGATTCTTCCATCGGGTAACATGATTGGCATCATCGACATTCCACCAGCTGCGTGACCTCCCGCATGCATTAATGGCTGCATAATTCCCCCAAAATTATACTCAAATATATATCACAAAGTTCTTCTCAAAAGATAATGATTTGATCGATAAGTAGTAGAAATCTCACTTGTGAGTAGGCAGAAGCTCCAAATCCACCAAGAGCACCAAAAGGACTAGGAGCCATGCCATAACTAAGAAGAGGAGGATAGTTTGGTTGCAATTGTGATTTCTGCACATTCTGAACTGTATTTGCATTCGCCTTTTGATCCGCTTGAGGCTTTGCCAGAGTACAATCCAACATATGACCTGTATATAAAATGGGGATACCTTTTAGTATTGAGAGACATCAAAAGAAGAGAGTATACAGAAAAAGATTATTCGGAATGGACCATACCATCAATCTCATATCTTTCAGTGTTTTTCAAAGCTCGCATGACACTTGTCCTCTCTGCATAATGCACAAATCCGTATCTACTGTCTTCCTTTCCTGGTTTTGCTGGTGGAATCACCACTTTCAGTATTTTCCCGTGATGTTCAAATAATGCCTTTAGACGTTCTTGTGTTATATCTCTAGGCAAGTTCTTGATGTACAATGCCTTGACCTGCAATCATTCCACACAGCATAATCGTAAGATCTCTTTTCTAAACATTTGTAGAACACATGTCTCTATGAAGATAATTTTTTTGGTAGTGATAACTGTTGCTGCTTCTATTATTTATTTGTAAGAAAGGTTCTAATGAAGCAAACCTGGGAAGCCGAAGAGTCTCCTCCTCCTCCACTCCTTGATTCAGCCCAGCTTACAGTTGGGGCATTATCATCAAGCTTAAAACTCGGATTTGACATTTTTTGTTTCGAGTATTCAGCACATGCATGGTTGTGATACTCGATGAAAGCAAATCCACGATTCCGGCCCATATTTTGTGGTTCCTGTGATTTTCACAAAACCAAATAGAAAACTGATCAAGTGAATGAGAAAGGTATGTCTTAAATTTCTACAGAAAATTTACTTCTGTAAGTTACAATTATACATGAACTTGAGATGAAAGTTACAGCAATAACTTAATATACACAATGGGCTGAAACTTATCCAAGTTGCAGGAGACAAACCTTTGGGAGTTCGACAATTTGAACGCCTGGACCAATTCTATTCGCTGCTTTCTTAATGTCTGACTCAGTCCAATTTCTAGGAACATTACCAAGAAAGAGACGATGCTTTGCTTGGGTAGTCGAACATTTTATCCTTTTACCCTATTGAATAACATTAAGTTAACAAACAAATAAGAGCCAGAAAAATTCTGAAACACCAATCCATCAAGAATTCTAAGTAACTATTAAGAATTGGGTCAAAGAATTTACTCTGAATTCAGTGCTATTTAGAGTATCAATTGCTTTAGATGCTAAGTCCTTGTTTCTGAATGTCACAAATGCATACCCCTTTCCATCACCAGATTCCTTTTCCCTCATTATCCTAACCTGTTGACATCACACCAAACTCAGCACGAGATAAATTAAAACACAACCATAGGTTAGCTAAGAAGATGTCAAGTTACCTCAGTAACTTCTCCTATTGATTGACAGAAGCCCTTTAAGTCCCCTTCAGTAGCATCAGTAGGAATCCCTCCAAGATAAACCTCTGAACCATGTGAAGGAAGTGCAAGGAGTTCAACATGCCTTTTCTTTTCTTCTTCCTCTTCCGTTGCAACAGCATCCTCCTCCTCTTCTTCCACTTCCACCTCCTCCTCTATCTCCTCTTCTATCTCTTCAATTTCCTCCTCCTCTTCAACTTCTTCGTATTCAACTTCCTCCTCCAGAATCTCCTCAGGATCATTGTCACCGTCAAGGTCTACCCTTTCTTCAGACTCCATTGAATCGTGAGCCTCAGAAGCAGCAGTCCTCGTCCTTGACATCTTAAGTATCTAGAAAAGAACGCTTGCAAGACAACTGTGGAGGAGACACAGAAGCAAGAAGCAAGTGGGGAGAGAGAAAAGAACCGAGGAAAGGTTGGAAAAGAAACAATAAGAGGCCAATAGAAAAGAAGAAAAAGAAGTTCGAATTGACGCGTTGCCATAATGCGGCTAAAAAAGGAATTCCAAAGTAGTTAACAAAGAAAAAGGTGACAAACAAAGAAGAGGGCGATGAAATGCTCAACAGGTGAAACAAAAATTAAGAAACGAATGACCCCTGAGAGCGGAAAAAAACCATGATATCATAGGACTTGGTAGTGATTAGCAAGAAAAAAGAAGAGCTAAAGAGAAAATAGTATCTCTGCTTAGAAAACTCCAGCTCCATCCCACAAGAGACATTGTTCAGAATTGCAAGTGAAATTTTTTATGCTGCCAATCTAACCTGTTAATTTGATTATTTCAGACATTTTTACACGAAATTGACCACAATGATACCAATTAAGAACAACCACCCAATACCCATGTACATAGCTAAAACTCAGAGAAATATCAATCAAAAGGCGTTTAAGCTACTTAGCAATCATTGGAACAAAAATGAGAGCAAGATTCAATTTAAGATAAGAAGAGTTTCAAATCCCAATTTTGGACCCCAACCAAAAAAAGATTCACGAAAGGATAAGAAGAGAGGCGCAATGAGATGAAGAAAGAGAGAGAGAAAGGTACCTTAAAGGCGAGAGAGAGAGAGAGAGCTGCCGGAAGAAAACCCTAATTTTGAGAATTACGGAGAGGATGAACAAGTGTTTGTTTATTCGCGCAGCTCAGGTGTTGAAATTTTTGTATGATATGACCTAAAAGATGCCTAAGCGAGACTTTTATTATGATGCTACAAATCTTATATTACGGGTTATTACCGATCTTAATATACGACAAAATTCATTTTTATGCAAAAAATTACTTTCAAGTTGGATGATAATTTGCGCCTTTTTCACTCAAATTTCTTGTTATTTTCCCGAATTTCACTCAAATACTATCAATGTTTTTTAAATTAACACGGTTTCTATAATTAACACAGAGTTTGTTTTATATATGGAAATTTTTTTCTTTAAATTGTAGGTTTAGGGTCATATACAGTATGTTTTTTCAATTTCGAGCCAAAACTTGTCTATCTACCAAATAATAGCCCAATAAATATTATATCATTTTTAAAAAAATGAAGCCCAAGCAATAATATAAATCAACAACTATTTTAAAAGACTAAATGATTTATTAGCAAAAAAAAACGAATTAAGAAAAAATAAAACATAAATTTTTTTTACAAAAATAATAACCTTTATCAAAAGGCATGTCCGATTGTAATTTTCTTTTCTAGTTTCATTTGTAAGTAATATAGAGGGAGAGAAAAAAAATAAAAAATAATAACCTTGATGAATGAAAATAAATATTTTTTGTATAAACAAAATGGTTCACTTAATTACTTTAATTATTAAAATCGACACAAAATATGAGTACCTGTTTGATAAAAAAAAAAAAACTAATTAGTACCTCAATTTTTCTAATCTTTGGGAATTTTGAAAGTCCGAATCATAAAAGTGGAACAAAGTCATAAGAATCCGCACGATAAATCTCAGACTCCCACCGCGTAATTCCGCACTAGGTTTCCTTTCTCCGGCGAATCGGAGCTCTCTCTTCCAATCTCCCCCCTTGTCGTTTCCCAGGTACTGCTTCTTCCGATTCTGGGCTCGTAATGTTCTATCTTTTATGAAATCGGTTTCATTTCTGGTCCTATCTGCAGCGATGATTTCCAGATAGCTTCCGCTGATTCCAACTTTCTAGCTGCAGCTATGGCAATGGGACTTCTTCGTCTTGTTGCTATTGCTTTAGCACTTGTTCTAGTTTCAATCCTTCCTCTTCATGTCTCTCTCGCTAGTAAGTTTCGTCGATTGCCTCATCTTTTGTTGATTTTTGATACAACATTTGACTTTTAGTTTGTTTGGTTTGTAATTTGATTCATTGAGGTCTCTTTGTCCCACTTTAGATTATCAGTTTTATCTATCTGATCACTGTTTGTTTGTTTCTTGAAAGACCCAACTATGTTAAGATTTTCTTATTTTGTGATTACTGTTTCCAATTTTGTGTAGGTGAGATTGCATCTATTGAATCTGTTCCTGATCTTCAAAAGCTAATGTATGTTGCTGTTGATGGGTATCCTTGTGTACGGCTTCTCAATCTTTCTGGAGAGATTGGATGTTCAAGTAAGCTTCTTCTGGGACTTAACTAAGTGGTTTTTATCTGTTGATGAGTTCCCTTACCTTTTATGTTTATAAATACTCAGATCCTGGAATAAGTAAAGTGGTGGCTCCAATCATAAAGTTAAAGGACGTTAAAGATTTGGTTCAGCCACACACTATTTTGGTTACAGCTGATGAAATGGAAGATTTCTTTACCAGGCATGTCTCCTTTGTCATTTAAAAAATTTGTATGACCTCTATTCGGTTTTGTAATTAATCTCTTAACTTGTGGAGTAGTGCTTGACCGTGCTAAGCAGCATATACCTATGCATGAAATAAGTCTAGTTGTCATTTATTTCCTAATGTCAAACAAGATTTAGATTGTGGTGTGCGCCAAATCAGCTTGTAATTACAGAGTTCGTTTTCACTAGTACTTTAGTATTTAAGGCAAATCATTTTAGTTTTCTTCTTTTGCATGAGAGTGAAACAACAGATTGCAATGAGTATACCCTCTTTTTGAACTCTGCTATACATGTAGTCACTTGGTTGTTGGTGCATCTGGAATGGATTAGGTACTCAGTAGAACTGTAATTCATTGGATTTTTTTCGCTTTATTTTCATTCGACAAACTGAAAGTAGGTATACCTCTACGCACTTTACACTAGAATCCTGCAGTCTGGCTTACTTCTGGCATTGTTCATCGCTTAGACACTCTATTCAGTAGAAATAACAAAGGATCACTCCTCTTTGTGCCCTTTCCAGGGTGTCAAGTGATTTGAGCTTTGCTAGCAAAATTGGTGGTGTTCTAGTTCAATCAGGATCTAATTTCCAACAAAAGTTAAAAGGTACCATATCGATCCACATATTTATGATTCTGTCAACTTGAATGGCTATTTCCTTATATATTGATTTCTTTTCTTATTTCCCTCAAACATAGTACTTGATACTTCTTATCTATGTTCATGGTGCAAGTGTTTCGTTCTTATTTTTTGTAGGCTTTTCTCCTGATAAAAAGTTTCCTCAAGCGCAGTTTTCACCCTATGAAAACGTTGAGTACAAATGGAATTCAGCTGTATGGTAGCATAAACTCTGTCTGAATCTTTGAAGTTACTTCTTCCTGTGAACTCTTTTGTAGTGGGTTGGAAATTGTTTCAATCAGTTATCACCAATTCCATAGTCAAGCATTTCTGAGTTATATGCTGTTTCCTTCTGGAACTAACACACAAATACCATAAATCCTTTTCTTTATAGTTTATTTTTGGTATACTTGTACAAGAGGAATAGATGTAACTGCCTATATGATCACTTATAAAGAAGTTCATAAATCAGTTGCATATTTATCTACCTTAATAAAAATATAGTTCCTCTTATTGTTTTTCTATGAAGAAAAAATGATTTTAATTCTTATGAGTAGTTGCAGTCTTGCAGGCGATAAGTCTCTAGACATTGACCATTGTTAAAAAAATGTTTATTTGCAGGCATCAAGCATCATGTGGAAAAATTATAATTTTCCTGTGTACTTATTGTCAGAAAGTGGCATATCAGCTGTGCAGGAGGTAATCCTTCAAACTTGCATTCTTTTGCAAATTTGAAATGTGCCTATTTGTGTTTTCAGAAAAGCTAAATTGAGAAATGAACTCATGGCTTAGAGAGGCATTATGACTGTTGGTCACTCTTAAGAGCAGTATTGCTTGATGAAGATATGGCTGTGAAATGTTGCGTCAGATCTGTTTCTTCAAGGTCATATGAAATGAATACTCCTAGTTTAAACTGAATTAGTCTGCAGAATTTTAAATAGGAATACAAATTTGGTCCGTGAATGTTTGTCTCATCCAGCTGAAGGCAACACCCAGCTGCGTCTGTAGCTTTTAAATGCTTTTTGCTTTTCATAGCCTGCAATTGGACCCAACCATTGCCTTTCCATTTGTCTTGTGGTAGTGGCATTTAAACGGCTGGTCAACTGTGTCATTGGATAATATGTTGTTGGTAGCAATCTAAATGTGTATAGTTTATGTGGATAGCTTCACTTTTTCAGGTTGTCAACTATATATTTAGATCCTAATATAATTGTGCAGATCCTTTCCAAGAAAAAGATGAAGCATGGAACATATACCAGTGATGTTGCTGAGTTCAATATGGTTATGGAGGTATATGGCTTTAGCAATCTTGCTCACTGGAACGTTAACTAGCTTTATGGATCTTCACTTTGACTTATATTAACCACTTCTCTATTTTTTTTGTATTAGACTACCAAAGCTGGAACACATAATTCGGAGGCTTGTTTGCAGGAAGGAACTTGCCTGCCATTGGGCGGATATAGGTAAAAATTTAGGAGGTTTAAATTTCTTTATTACTGTCTGATTTCAAGAAATATGAAGACCTTTTAAAGGATACGTTGGTTTTCTAATAACTTGTTATGAAGGACAGTGTTTGGTCCTCGCTTCCACCAATCAGTGTTTCGTCTTCCAACAATCGCAAACCAGTTGTGCTCACTGTGGCCTCCATGGATTCTGCATCGTTTTTCCGTGACAAAAGTTTTGGTGCAGATTCACCAATATCTGTGAGATCTCGCTATTTTCTGCTTTTGTGTTGATCTAGAATACATTTATTTACTCTTCTTATTCTTCTTTTCCCGATTCATTGCTCAAGCCTCAACGCGTTCTCCTTCTTTCAGGGTCTGGTAGCTCTTCTGGGAGCAGTTGATGCTCTTTCTCGAGTTGATGGTTTAAGTAATCTCAAAAAGCAGGTGCCAGTGAATAAATATAATTGCCAAATCTATTAAGTTTCTAGCACACAAGTGTACCATGTGATTAAGTGTTATTTCACGCTTTTTGTTGTTCGCAAGCTTTAATACATGTAAATCCTAAATGAATGCAGCTTGTGTTTTTGGTTCTGACCGGAGAGACATGGGGTTACCTTGGCAGCAGGAGGTTCTTACACGAATTAGATCTGCATTCAGATGCTGTCGCAGGCCTTAGCGATACTTCGATTGAAACGGTAATCTTTATTGTTTTGATCTGACAAAGTTGGTAGATACATTTAGTCTTATGCATGAAATCCTTTGTGGAAAAAGTTGCATGTGGTTCATCGTTACTGCAACTTATTTGTTCCTTAGTAGTGCAGAGAGAAAGTTTCTTACTTAATTAGTGATCCTTGTGAAATTGAAGGTGCACAATTCTCTAAATCTAAAGATCGAATTCAAATTGTTGTCTTCTGTTTCTAACAGGTGCTTGAAATAGGATCCGTTGGAAAAGGTTTAAGTGGAGGGATAAACACCTTCTTTGCTCATAAAACTAGAGTGAGAAATTCCTGATACCATGAAACTCTTACATAATTTGTTAGATAATGTGAAAACTGTCATAGGCAACTTAACCTCCACTTTTGGTGTTCGCTTTAGGTTTCTTCAGTTACAAACATGACACTGGATGCTTTAAAAATAGCTCAGGATTCACTTGCATCCAAGAACATAAAAATTCTTTCAGCTGATACTGCAAACCCTGGAATACCCCCATCTTCCTTGATGGCTTTCATGAGAAAGGTACAATATATATTCTAAGCAAATAGATGGAAAGACAATTGAAATGTGTATTTGGACTTTGAAAGAGAAATAACTCTTTGTATATACTTCACCTTCGATTGATCATGAATATGATAGGAGAAGTATACTTGCTTACTGTTATGTGATTCTGAACCAGATTTCCTAGTGAAAAAGGTATAACATCAATATTCATTGTTGCAGAACCCTCAGACTTCAGCTGTTGTACTTGAAGACTTTGATACCAAGTTTGTGAATAAGTTCTACCATAGTCACCTCGATGACTTGTGTAAGAAGAGTCACAGCCCATCTTTCTCTTCTTGTCCCTCCTAAACCCCATTTAACACTTTTTGATTCCTTTCTGGTATTGTATTGCAGCAAATATCAACTCCTCGTCTGTAGTAGCTGCTGCTTCAGTTGTGGCCCGTACACTTTACATCCTTGCAAGTGACAACAAAGATACAAGCAATTCAGCTCTGGGATCCATCCATGTCAATGCTTCTTTCATTGAAGAGCTTTTAACCTGTCTTTTAGCTTGTGAACCGGGCTTATCTTGCAACTTGGTAAAAGACTATATTTCACCAACAAACACTTGCCCAGGCAACTATGCTGGAGTCATCCTCGGTGAACCTTCCTCCAAACCTTACCTTGGTTACGTCGGTGATGTTTCTAGATTCCTATGGAACTTTCTGGCAGATAAAACATCTGTCCAGAAGGGGAACACAACCTCAGTTTGTTCAAAAGGAGTCTGTAGCAAAACCGACGAAGTATGCATTAAAGCAGAGAGCAACAAGGAGGGAACATGTGTGGTCTCCACAACCAGGTAAAGCCTGTTCACTTGGAAATTGCATTTCGGTTTGAATGCTCAAGTTGTCTGATGTCCTAAAATAGACGCAAATTTTAAGTCTGGTAGGCATTTGATAGGAATTATTAATTAGGATAGGCTTCAGAAGTGGAGTCTCTTTATACTTGGGAGAGAGTCTATCTTTAGTTTGTTGACCTTTGAATTGAACCTATCATCATTTTCTTCTTCCCCTGGTCTGAGATGTTGTATGTGGCCTAACCAATTTGTTGCCTGAGCATCACTTATTAAGTTCTGGTTTTGGCAGGTATGTTCCAGCTTATTCAACCCGATTGAAGTATAACGATGGAGCTTGGACAATTCTACCACAGAACTCATCAGATTCTATGGGGATGGTTGATCCAGTGTGGACGGAAAGCAACTGGGACACTATAAGGGTGCATGTGTACACAGTCCAGCACGCAGCATACGACAATGCAGTCCTTGTTGCAGGTATTACAGTCACCACATTGGCTTACATCGGAATTTTGGCTGCTAAGTCAATCATCACAAAAGCCTTGAAGCAGGACTGAGATTTGTATTTAATTCCCTCTCCTCTCGGCCCAAAATTACTCGTCAGTTTCAGTAAGACATTGCGTAATTAGCAACACCACCAATACTATGGTTGTAGAAACCTTTTTTCTCAACCAAGGTTATTAAAAAATCGTCCTTTTGAGCTAATTCATATTAAAATTCTGTATTACACTGGCAAGAAATTTTATTAGAAAAGGGTCTGCTTTCACAATATTTATCAAAGAAGCTAATAAAGCAAATCCCAATATAATTCTAATTCCAGAGCAAAATACTATCTGCCAAGAAGAAAATGGTGTTTTGTTTAGTGTTTTAGTAGCTCAATTCATAAACAAAACAGCAATAGAAGCTTAGTTGTAATAGATTAAGAAGTTGTTACATAGACCAAGTAAAGAAAATCTTAGGACCAGAAAATGGTGAGACATCAAAATAGATATGAGGCATAACCATCTGCAAAAGAACTCGCTTCGATAATCATCACCATCACAGCATTAGATGAACAAGTGCTTGAACTCCCCATTTGCTAGCTTACATAGCTCGTTGTAGTTGTGTGGATCTGCAACCCAAAAATATTAAAACACAACTCAATTCCTAATCCAAGATATTAGCTTCCACTTTGACTAATTTTCATGCTTCTTGCAAATGAGTTTTCGACGAAGGCATTGAAACTGAAACTTTTTTTAGCAAATCTGATATACTCAACAAAACAGTAGTAAAGGAATCAGTAAAATTACCAAAACTGTTGCCAAAATTGGTCCAAGTTTCAGCTCGAATGGCGTTATCACTCTCAGCAATTCCAATAACCTCAAGGTAAGTAGTAAGAGGAGGAGTCGGAGACGATCCCCTAACAACGATCTGAAGATCATCAGTAGATTTTCCGACCACAGATCCAATATCTGAACCGATCACTTGAATCACAGTTCTGACTTTTTGCCCAACGTATCGCCTCATCAAAGCTCCGTTCACAAAAACTGAAGGACTTGATGTATCCATTTTCTTTATCTACCGTTCAAAGATTCCAAAGCGATTTGATAAATCAGTTTCGTAAGAAAATTGAAAACCAGGAAATCGATTTTGAGAAATTCAATCGAAGGGAAGAGAATTATAAGGAGAAGATTTACCTTATTGGAGAAGATGAATCGCTCGTCGGAGTTGCGAATGATTAGCCCTAACTTCTGAGGTTTTTAGGCTTTGAGAGAGAGTTAATGGAGAGTATTTGGGCGGGAAGCGAAAAGTTTCAGATGGCGCCAAAAATGTGAAGAGAAACATAATGGGACGGACCAATCGTAAATTATGGGCCTGTATGTATTGTACCCATTGGGCTTTTTAAGTTTGCCTTGGATCGTTGAGCTTTTTCACATTTCGTTTATTTTTGATGACATTCATTAAACGCATTATCCAAACCATTTTGTGAAAAAAAATAATTAAAAGTATTCAATTGCATTATTTAATTTTAAAATTTACATATCAAAACAAAAATTATAGATTTTAATATAATTATATAATATCGGGAGTTATTTTTCTTAATTTCTTATGTAAGAAAAAGTTACAAAGGAAATTTGAGAAATGAACTTGTATAAAATCATTTATTCTCTTTTAATTTCTTGGTTATAGCAAAAGCGGCTCCTGCGACGGCCACGATCACTGCTGATATTATGATCGTCTTTTTAAGCGTTTGCGCCGCGTCTCTCTTTGCCTTTGCGTTTTCTCTCTTTTCCACGTTTTTTTGTACCTTCTCACATTTCAAATCCAAAAGTAAAATATAAGATTGTGAACTCATGTGTACAAGGAAAAGTGATCAAAGCTTTTAATATTTGGTGGTTTATTTAAGAAACTCATGCAAAATTAACACAACCATTCAATAAGGAGGATATCACAAATCTTGTCATAGTTCTAAAATGAATCTATTTAAATTCGTTCAAATCAAATACCTTTTCGGCAGCAATCTCTGATGAAACAGGATCTACTTCGAAATTCTTGTTTTGGCCAGGATTTAGTTCAGCTTCTGCATCTCCTTCTGGAAAAGTTGTTGTATCCGTTGCCATTTTCACACTTTGATTTGTTGTTATCTTACAAAAAGATGATTTGAACACAAATTAAAATGAAGATAGCTTGAAATTGAGGCAAGTAAGTTAGGATTTTGTGGCTAAGTCTTGTGCTCTAAAAATAGTTTGGAGTTTTGCTGATTCCATAAGCTTTCTTTAGCACAATTCTTAAATTATCATCCGCAATATTTGCTGATTCCACTAAAATGAAATAATGCAATTTTTACTTTCTATATTTTTCTTCTTCTTTTTCTCAATTTTAATCAGTTTCACTTTCAGCTTCTGTTTCCAATTTAAAATCCTATTTTTGACAACAAATGTTCACTATTTTTTCCTAACATTTTGGATGGTTCAATTAAATTTATTTTTAAATAGAATTGTATATGACAATCAACGAACAAATTTTTTTGATTTGATTTTTTAAAAGAATATACTCTATTCATGGTAGATGTTTGCAGAAGCATATGAGGAGAATACGAAGTAAATTTATTTTGACTATATTTTACAGAGACTATCTATGCCTCTGGACAAAAGAGAGAGTTTTGATTGTCAAAACACAAATCAAAAGGAAGAAGCAGATCCTTCCAAAAGAATAGTTTTCATATGTTGAATCAGCCCATCCATCTGCTCTCTTGAATGCAACGGCGAAGGATACACAAACGTACAGTCCAATTTCCCGTCCCTAAGCGCATCGAAAACCGCAACCGACGGTCCAACCCCGTGGATAGATGCGCATCCGATGTAATCATGCACCCCAACAGAAGCCAATTCAGGCTCTGGAGACTCGTCGATAACAGGATCTTCAAATATGGAGATGAAAGCGGTTCTCAAGGACGAGGAAGGCGTGAGATTAGGATTCTCTATGGCCTTGCACATTAGGAAATTGAGATCCGACATATCCGTGAACTGCTTGTTCGAGTTCTTTGCGGATGTGAACGAGTCATAGCATCTTTTGGCTAGGTCCCAGAGCGTTTCTTCTCCGGTTAAATCGTGTGTGTGAAGGATCCCTGCGTGGTAGAAACCTGAAAACAAAATAATAAATATATCAAGTTGAAATCATAAGATCAGTTACAACAACTGCGATTGTTTACAATTTCAATCATTCAAACTCGCGGTCTTGAACCATATCACACTGGCTCATAGAAAATTTGTTGCAATCATAAGAAGATCTATGAACATCCATTCCTCATATAGATCATCAAATGCTATAGTAATCCCAAATATCGAGCTTACCAAAGTCATTAGAAGTAAGAGGAGGTTCAAGAATGGAACGACAATCCGAAAGAGTCACCACGGCATATTTCTCTCCTTGGTATGGCGTTGGATTCTTCGAGGAATACGCAGCGATTAGCCCCGACGCTGCTAATGTCGCCCATAGCTTTAAACCTCTTGCCTTGCATCCCTACAAAAAGTGATTGAATGCTCCAAATTTTCAGAAACAATCTAGGCTTTAGCACATACCAACATCCTCTTTTAGTCCTTTTTGTGTTACAAATTAAATGTATCCATATGCAATTGCAACAATGAATATTTGCAGACTCCATATCCAATCACTCAAAATTATGGACATAATAATAAAACTCTATTATTATGTTATCCTCCTGAGATATATTTTATATTCATAATCATATACGCAAAAATGGAAACAAATATTAATACTCTATGCTTAACACGCAATAATTTTAATTAACACATAGTTAATAGAATGGTTGGTGGAGAGCTCACAGCCACAAGTTTGAGAGTCTGATCTCTTTCCAATTTCAACCTCACCACTTGCGATCTCCGATTCGAATTCTCTGCGTCCACGAAATTCAAATTCGTAAACCGAAACGCGTTCAACGAGTACCCAAGCACGTCGATTCCACGCGCCCAGAACGGTTTATTCCCTTTCCCACTCGGAATCAGCTCCTCTATCGGATAACCTAATCCCGCCGCCGTCACGGGACCGTTTTCGCAACCGTGAGACGCCGTCTCTTTCATAAACTCTCTCAGAAGGGTAACCGCCGCAGTACGATCGACCGCCGCCGTGTTCAGCCGAAATGCAAGTATCCGTTGCTCTCCGTCGTCGGTTAGATCGTACAAACTGACGATGAACACGCGTGACTCGGAGTTGATCCAACGGTGTGGGTTGATCCACGTGTTTTTGTTAAGCTCGTGTTCTAGGATGATCCTGTGTGGATCAGCGCATGGATCGTCGCTATCTCGGATAATCTGAGCCGTAGATTCGGAATCGAAGGGATGGATTTCGACGCGGGAATCGGCGGCGGACGTTACGACGAAGGAGAAGGAGTTAGCGGATGCGTCGAAACGGATGTTGGAACGGAGGGTGGGATGGTAAATCTGGAGTTTGTCGAGGGTGTTTTGGAGATTTTGGAGTTTTGGTGTTCGGGAAAGTAAGAGAGCTATGACGGCGATACCTGTGCCGCCGTCAATGGCTCTGCACCAGCTGTACTCGGTTCCTCCGACGGGTCGGGTCATGGATTTGGGTACCCGATTCGGCTCACTCATTATTATTATGTTGAGTAAAGAAGAGAGATTGTTTTCGCTTTTTGGGATTTTAAGATTTTTGTTGGCTAATATGGGAAGATACAGTGACGTAGCTTTTACTCGATTCCGTTTAGTGTTTTTATCCGGTTTACCGATTTAGATAGAAATGATTTTGCATTTCCGGTCTTGGTTTTGCACTTTACAATTTTTTCGCTTAGCTCAGGTTAGCTGGTTATAAACCTCCCTATATGATTACGTATCTACTCGAAAGCTCGAAACAATTGACCCAAACGATTTGACTTTTCATTTGGAACAAAAGAGTTGTTAAAAATGGATAAAAAGACAACAAAAGTAAATTGATTGAGTTTGCACAAAAAAAAAAAATAAAAAAAAAAAGTAAATTGATTGCAAGCCACATTGAGAGTACTTCTTATTTTAGCGTGAGATTAAGATTAGTTTACGGATTCAGATTATCTTCAAAGTAATCTATTTTTTCCCTCCTCTTTTCTTCTATATAAACATTGAATCAAAAACTCTTTTGTTTTCATCACAGAGTTCTCTCTCTTTGTAAAGGGTATAAAAAAAAATTATTAACACATTGAAAAATAAAATCAAAATAAATTGTTGTGATCATAGGGTTTTCTTGCACCAATGAGTGCTTCAAAGCTTGTTTCTGTATTACTATTGATTGTATTAATCAATATAAGCAATAATGGCGTCGATGCATTTCACAAAATTTTCAAGAAATTGCAATCACAATCGACATCATTGGATTCAGTGAGTCCTCTTCACAGAACCGCATATCACTTTCAACCTCCCCGCCATTGGATCAACGGTACAACATTGTGACATCTTATTCAAGTTCATATTTATTTGGTTGCTGAATTGCTAATATTACTTATTAGGGATAATATTATCCAACATTGGAAAGGACGGGATCTTGACTAGTATATAAGATATATGTTCCACTCATCGCCAATTGGTTTTGAGTTGGAAGCCCATATTCTAATATGGTATCAGAGCCCGATCCGTACATGTCCAAATCCAATCCACCATCGGCCCGGCCCAATAGTTGGCCCGCCGATCCATGCCCGAGCATACCGAGATCAATGGCTAGAGCCATCATCTTGAGGGGGCGTATTAGGGATAATATTATCCAACATTGGAAAGGACGGGATCTTGACTAGTATATAAGATATATGCTCCACTCATCGCCAATTGGTTTTGAGTTGGAAGCCCATATTCTAATATTACTAAGGTTTATATCAACTAAAATACATTGTTCTAACCTATTTTTCTTTTGGTTTTGTTGTTTTGCATCCATTCTTGACCCCAACAGATCCGAATGGTAGGTCCATTACAATTTTTTTTTTCTTTTATAAGTTAATGACAAAAACATTACATATATGTAATAATATTCAAAAATTGAAACAGCTCCAATGCTCTACAAGGGAATCTACCATCTCTTCTACCAATACAATCCCAAAGGTGCGGTTTGGGGTAACATTGTGTGGGCTCACTCGGTTTCTAAGGACTTGATCAATTGGGAAGCCCTTGAACCAGCTATTTACCCATCCAAATGGTTCGACATCAACGGTACATGGTCCGGTTCATCTACCCACGTACCGGGCAAAGGACCGGTCATCCTCTACACCGGTATCACCGAGAACCAGACTCAAATTCAAAACTATGCAATTCCACAAGACCTTTCCGATCCATACCTCAAGACATGGATTAAACCAGACGATAACCCAATCGTAAAACCCGATCATGGCGAGAACGGATCCGCTTTCCGTGACCCAACCACGGCTTGGTTCAACAAAAAAGATGGGTATTGGAGAATGCTTGTTGGCTCAAAGAAAAAGCACAGAGGAATCGCTTATATGTACAAAAGTCGTGACTTCAAGAAATGGGTCAAAACCAAACGTCCTATCCACTCCAGAAAGAAGACCGGTATGTGGGAATGTCCCGATTTCTTCCCGGTATCCGTAACCGACAAGAAAAACGGTTTGGACTTCAGCTACGACGGTCCAAACGCCAAGCATGTGTTGAAGGTTAGTTTGGACTTGACCCGATACGAGTACTATACTCTTGGAAAGTATGACACCAAGAAGGATCGATACAGACCAGACGGTAACACTCCTGACGGTTGGGATGGTTTGAGATTTGATTATGGTAACTTCTATGCGTCAAAGACATTCTTTGATGACAAGAAGAAGAGAAGAATTCTTTGGGGTTGGGCCAATGAATCCGACACCGTTGAAGATGATACGTTGAAGGGTTGGGCCGGAGTTCAGCTTATCCCACGAACAATCTTGCTTGACTATAGCGGTAAGCAACTCGTGTTTTGGCCTATTGAAGAGATTGAGTCATTGAGAGGAAAGAATGTCCAAATGACCAACCAGAAAATGGAGATGGGCCAACGCTTTGAGGTCCAAGGAATCACTCCTGCTCAGGTGGATGTGGATGTGACATTCAACGTTGGAAGTCTAGAGAAAGCCGAAAAGTTCGACGCAAGCTTCACAACTAAACCACTAGAGTTATGTAACTTGAAAGGTTCAAATGTGACTGGCGGAGTCGGTCCTTTTGGTCTGATCACGTTGGCTACATCTGACCTAGAAGAATACACTCCTGTTTTCTTCAGAGTCTTCAAAGATGCCTCAACCAACAAGCCTAAGGTCCTCATGTGCTCTGACGCCAAGCCGTATGTTTTCCTAACTCACTAATTAACTTGTGTATATACTTTTTTGTCTTCAATATTTCTTCGAAGACCATCTTAATCATAATTTGAGAGTTTCTAACATTTAATCATATATATCGACAGTTCGAGTCTCAAAACAGACACAGGCTCTGACGCAAAGCAGAGGATGTACAAACCCTCGTTTGCTGGTTTTGTTGATGTTGATCTCGCTGACGGAAAGATCTCTCTAAGGAGTTTGGTACGTCTTCACAATCTTATTCATTTTTATTGAATATGATTGTATTGTAAGAAAATACGTAACATAATAATTAATTTGGATTTGCAGATTGATCACTCGGTGGTGGAGAGCTTTGGTGCAAAAGGAAAGACAGTGATAACATCTAGAGTATATCCGACAAAAGCAGTAGGAGAAAAAGCTCATTTGTTTGTCTTTAACAACGGATCACAGCCTGTGACCGTAGAGAGCCTCAATGCATGGAACATGCAGAAGCCTCTGAAGATGAACCAAGGAGCTAAATGATCACCTCATTCTTTTTGTTCTTTTCGTTAATAAATTTCATTAATTTGTTAAGAAAGAGAGAGAGTCTGTGACAATATTATAGAAAAGAGGAACCTATTGTGTTTCTTTTTCTATCAATTCAATTTGTACATAGTTCATCGCTTAGATGGGCTTGAAATCTCAATAAAATCAATCAAACTTTAAAAAATACACTACTACTTGCAATTTGCAAACAACTTATGGCCAACGACGAGAATTATTTTAAGTTCCATTACTTTTTAGTCTTTGATCCTGAGTAAAACTTATACTAATCACACACGTCATTCTTTCACGATACTTGAGTGTGCACAAATAGATTGTAATTAAGCAAGAATCTCCAATAATCGATACGGGATAAATAGAAAACCAAATCCTTTTACTGATATTATCTTTTAACATAGAAATTCACTGAAACAAAAAAAGCAAACCCTATCAAAGGGAAGACAACAAACAGAAGCAAGCAAGAGATAGGATTCTTGATCTCTACTTGATCTTCTTCTTAGGCCTCAACTGCAAATAAGATATCAAAAAACAAGAAAGATTGTTCAGATATCATTTCAGCTTATAAACCAAATATATACAAAAACAAGCAAAGTAACAAAACCAAACCTGGTTGCTGTGACCACACTTCTTCTTCCTGCAGTTGACAGCCCTTGGGTGAAGACGAGCATAGCACCTAACAAAAGATAAGAATTGACATTAGAACAATCTCCTAATTAAAAACGATAGATGACACTAAACACAAGATGATTCATCTATCAGAATAAACAAACTTCAACAAAAGTTCTAAAATGATCAACACATTTTCAAACTATACACAATAACGAATATTTGTTGCTATCTAATAAATCATATGCAGAAATGTACCATTCAAGAAAATCATCTGGAAAGATGAGAAATTTGACCAGCTGACAAAGTTTAGAGAATGGAAAAATGTTGATATTGGGAACATTTATAACCTCAACACGCATTGTTAATGGCTTGAGAAGCTAAGTTAATTCCCACAAAACAACTAAATCCTCCTATCACACTTTAAACTAATCTCCAACAAAACAGATCTTAGGGAGAAATTTGAAGCTTACTTGCGGCAAATCATCTTGTCCTGGTTGTACTTACGAGCCAACATCATCAATGAAGGCTCAATGATACCTCCTCTAAGCCTCAACACAAGATGAAGTGTGGATTCTGTTTACAAATGATAACAATCTATTAGAGTTTATTCATTCGGATAATCGAAATGATCAACACAATGATTTGAATGATTCGTACCTTTCTGGATGTTGTAGTCAGCCAAAGTACGGCCATCTTCGAGCTGTTTTCCGGCGAAGATCAATCTCTGCTGATCCGGAGGGATTCCTAAAGGAGAAACCAGTGAATGATTAGAGATCTGAGTTTCTTCAAACAAAGACAAAAAAAAAAATGTATCGAAAGGAGAAGAATGATACCTTCTTTGTCTTGGATCTTGGCCTTGACATTGTCGATGGTGTCGCTGCTCTCGACCTCGAGAGTGATGGTCTTGCCGGTCAAGGTTTTCACGAAGATCTGCATCTTTTGGTGTTTCGTCTTCTCTCCCGTAGTAACCCTAAAGATGAAGGAGGCGGGTTCTTATATGTCAATGTTCGTGTTTAGGGTTTTGCAGTTTTATTGGGCTGGGTTTTAAGATACTTTTAGCTTCGTTATAGGCCTTTTCAAACAAAAGGCCCAGCCCACTTACAACTTTGAAATTTCCACCTGATACCTTAGGATTTGATTAGCTTAAAAGATGGTAACATTTTAGACATCTCTTATTCTAAGACCACCTCTCGTTAGTCATGCAAATAATCGTTTTTTTTTTTTAACGCTTCCGCCACTGAATTTGATGATTTTAACTCTTGGCATAGTTTATGCTCCAAGTTATGATTGTCGCTCACTCTACTCAGTACTCACTTATAGGTTTCTCCGACTCCGAGTTCCACAAAACGATTTTGCCTAGCTTGAGTCAAAGTCCACTCATTCATGTCCTCAATCTCTTTGGCAACAACTTCAATGGACTTCTCTATATAACAAATTGTTCTATCATTCCCAAGGTCCAAAGACACCACATGGATTCTAAGAATTGTTTCTAAACTTTTTCAGGTCCAAAGACACCACATGGAGGCTATTGACAGTGAGCTAATTCAAAATTCTGTAGTCTAGGGTCAATTTGTGAAATATATCATGTTAATACAATTTTTACCAAATACAAATATTTATCAACTCCAATCAAAAGATTTGGCATCGAAGACTTTGCAAATAGTAGAACCAAAATAATCCAAGGTGTTTATGAGATAAAATGACTAACAATTATTGAATATCTTATGGTCATATAGCAGAGACTATAACAAAGCATAGTAATTCGAAAACTCTTTTCAATCTAAAAAAAACAAAATGAAACATTGAGAAAGCTACATAAAGAGATCCAACGAGAGGCCAAATAACTCACAGCCTCCTTCCTCTTCTTCCACTCTTTCTGCGGGTACTGTCGGTTGGGATAGGAGTCACATCCTCTGGGGAAAACAAGAACAATGTGAGAGATTTATCCAATCATAAAGCAATAAAACAATTCTAGATGAAGATTGTTTTTTATACCAATGCGGCCAATTTTCATGCCAGAACGAGCAAGGGCTCTTAGTGCAGACTGAGCACCAGGTCCAGGGGTCTTGGTCTTGTTTCCACCAGTGGCACGGAGCTTCACGTGTATCGCAGTGACTCCAAGTTCCTGTGTTGCATATATTCACTACATCAATTACATTCACAAAAAAAAGCTTATCAAATTTTCTGCTTGGTAGTGCAATTTCTATGCCTTTACCTTGCATCGCTGAGCGACATCTTGTGCAGCAAGCATAGCTGCATAAGGTGAGGACTCGTCTCTGTCGGCTTTCACCTTCATTCCACCTATAGAAGTTGAAATCAAAACAGTATTTTAGCAGCCAATTGTGTATTAAAGACACTTAAGCTCACACCCAATAGAGATGACCATAATACCAGAAACAACGGTATCTAACTAAGTTCTATTAACAGCACATTCATGCAGCCAAGAACAAAGCAACTTCTATATATATAATATCAATGGACTATCGCATACAAGTTAACGAAAGAATCATCACCAAAGGATTAGAGAGAGAGAGTTGAAAGAGATGATTACCAGTGATGCGAACAAGTGTTTCCCGTCCAGACAAATCAGTCACATGCTGAAATAGGAGATATAATAAGTTTAGAATTGTACATAAAAAAATCTAATTTTGCGTAATGAAAAATAACAAAAAAAAAAAAAAGACAGAACAAGCCACTAACAATGAAAGTGTCGTTGAATGAAGCAAAGATGTGAACAACTCCAAAGACGTTCTCTCCTTCACGAACAGTTGGTCCAAGAGATGTCTCAACCTTTGGCTCTTTTGTCTTTCTCTTCGACTACAAATTCCACACACAAAAATAAAACTAGCATTATGCAATTGCAACATCTTAAAAACACTTGTCAATTTGATAACTCAACGCCAGACCCAAAAAATCCAATCTTTCAAAAAAAATTCGTATGATCTCAGATCGAAATTCGAAGAAAAAGGATTGCTTAATCATCATTTTCTAACTTCAGAAATGGATTTTCAGATTATATATCTTCTTAATCACTAATTCCATGAAAAATCATTTCAAGCTTTAGACAAAACTTACCATGGTTTGGAACAGAGGAAGGTACAAGGGAAGCTAGGGTTTCTTTTTGTTCCGCCTTTAGCTTTTAGCTAGTGAAAGAGACGAACCAGAATTGGCTTTAATAGTCTGATTTTTTGTTAGGGTTAAGCGGTGATTTGGTGGATAATTAAGACCCAATATATTCAGGCCCAACATATTACGGCCCATAAAAGTGAGCAAAATTGCTGGTTTTTGAGCATTTTTGCTTGTTTTTTACTGGTGTTGTGCCTCTCGTAGCATTCCTTTTGTCTCTCAAATTATGCCAGAGCATCACCTAAATCTTGTGTATAAAGCAAATTTTATGAATGTAAGAAGTTTAATGATATTATTAGATCATCCTAAACGTTTGTACATTGTAGAAAGAAATGCAAACGCAAAATAACAAATCACAAACGGAAAAAACCGCGCATCGTCAAAACAGTTGCAATTGAATTTGCTATTTTCTGCATATAAATACTGGACAGGAGAGAAAATATAATCAAAGACTAATGTCATTTTCGTAGCGCATCGTCTACTCGTGTGGGGAGAAGAAGTTGGGACTCACAATCTCTAGGAGTCCCTTTGGATTGTCTGTGTGAACCCAATGGCCAGAGTTACGAAGAAGGTGAGTAGCAACCTTCCCTTCTGAGACATGCTGTCTCTGATTAGCAATTTTTTCAAGCCGCTTGGTTGTATCATTGTCCCATCGGTCACTCTTTTCTGCAATCACAAAATTTATCTCTGTCTCTTTTGATGGGTTCTCTAACAAAGACCAGTACGAAGTCTCCCTGTAATGGGGAAAGTGAGAAGTCATATGGATAAAGTATAATCTTGAGGGAGGAAACTGTATAATTCTTCTAGTCATTGGTTCATATGAGAGGCAAAACCTGTAAGAGTTGAACATTTGGACAGCTCCGTCAAGGTTAAAGGCCCATATCTCTGAGTCTCCAGATCTCTTGAGATTGCTACCAATCCACTCAGATAATGATCTTGAAAAACCAAGTTCGACCATATGATCCACGAGCCACCTAGAATCACAAAACAATGTTTGAGTGACACCAGGTTGGATTTATATACTCTGCAAGCTGAAATGAGCCATGTGTAACATAATCAGCTAGAAGCAATCACATAAGCATCCTTTTTTATTCCCACTTATCTAAATCTTAAGAGTATCCTTATATGACCGCTTCATTGATATGTGCCCTTGCACCCGCAGTTAGAGAGATGTTATACATCAACTATACAGACGTTAAATCAAGATTTCATATCAAAAGTGAGCATTATATATACTTTCGTGCGGAAATCAATTTGGACTACGCTTATGAACATTAACCGTTAATGGAATTACAAAGCTCAAACAAAACAGTCCAGAGTGTAGACAAGTAGACAAGCATCAAGAACCACAAAGAGGATGAGACTTTACTTGCGAGAAGGGATTGGTGAAGGTAAACTCTGCAACGTCTTCAGAACTTTCTCTACCTCACCATCACTTTTTTCTGCTTTGACTTCCCCAGGGACAGAGTCTAGCACCCATAGCTGTTCTGCATCAAAGAGAGAGAACACCAAACCAACTTTGCTATGGTCAAGTCATCATCATCATTCTCAGATAGAAAAATACACAAATTGGTCATCTTACAACAACAATGAGCTCATTAAACTTGCATACATGATCAGAATTGACAAGGTGAAGTCACATTAGTTCAGTACCTGTTTAGGAGGAGAAGCTGTATCACCAAAATCACCACGAGCACAACTCTCCATAAACTGCAAAGCCACTTTACCTCCCAGAGAGTGACCAATGACCACATCAGGCCATTTCCAACCACTTGCTTTAACCAAATCAGCTAAATCCTTAGCTGAATTCACAAGATCATGAGGTGGATTAAGCCCTTCCACCTCCGCAGATCTCCCATGGTTCCTCAGATCAACCAATATCATTTTCCAATCTGGATGTACACAAACAAGAAATTCAATCAATATGTCAAAGGAAAGCTGAAGATACCGATCACAGAGACACATATGACATACGAGAAGCAGAGGAGACAGAGAGAGACGATGCGAGAGAGCGAGAAAACGATCTCCAGTTGCGTCCGGAGCCGAGGAGGCCGTGAAGGATGAGAGCTGTTGATTCAGACTTCCGATCACCGGAGGATCGGACTTCTTCGTAGGCTAGGGTTTGAAGAGATCTAGAAGTCGTGAAACAAGAGACAAACAGACTCGGAGACTGAAGGAAACGAATCAAAAATCGAGACTCAAATCGGTTCTTTAGAGTTCTCGCCATTGATTCTTCCTCTCTAGCTTCGAAATTCTCCGGCGAAGTGAAGAAAGCGAAAAACAAAACAAAACAAAAATGACAGCTGTGGGATTTGAACCCACGCCCTTTCGGACCAGAGCCTAAATCTGGCGCCTTAGACCACTCGGCCAAACTGTCATATGTTAGTTATGTCTTAATAGTTTATTTAACTATACTGAATTTTAGATTCAGGCTTCAAAAATGTTGTACAATCAAAAAATTTTTTAAAAATGGCGTATTTATCTTTTTAAAAATTTTAATTTCAATGTTGTATTTTTATCATGCACACAAGTTTTTAGTAACTGATTAACCCACGTAGATATTATGACTCTATATATGCAAATGTATATTGACCGAGAAATAAGACTAAACTCAACCATATGAAAATACACGAATATATTGCATAAAATCATCTGAAAAATCCTCCAAAGTCCACCCCACCAAGACACCAAGCTGCAAATTTTTATTAATATTGTGATTTGTGAAGCTGTATGTTGATTTTATATTTTATTATAGTTCAATAGTTGACGTTGCATGTCTATTTGTTAATGTAGATGTCATAGCAACAAAAAAAAAAATATTATTGTTTCAAAAGTCTAAAACAAAATATTGAGTGAAGAATCAAGTTGATGAAGAAGAGATGATCTTGAACAATCGATGGCTTTAATTGAAAAACGGATAATGCGGTATGTCACTTATCGTTTTGTAATTTAATTAAATTTAAATTTAATTTTCCGTATAAGGAGGAATAAAAAGTCCAAAGAAAAGTGTTTGGACAAATGGTACAAGCAATCCCCAAACCAGAACAAGACAATTATAGACATCAATTCTCTTCCGTAATCAATGAAAGAAATCTATAGGTTTTGATGTTTTTATTCATTTGTGCAAAGGGAAGAAAAAACTTATTACACTTCTAAAGTATTTCATTAAACAAACGTGGTTGCAATTTCAACCTTTCACATGATTGATTCAAGCTCATGAGTCATGCATATAGAAACGGTTCTGACGACTACAACAACCGACCAATCTTGAAATGAACAAGCTTTCGAGAAAGGGCTTGCACTTTGATTTAGATCACAAAAATGATTTGTTTCTAAAACCATATATGAGATCATTAAACAAAATACGTATAGAAAAACAAAAAAACAAAATACTGAAGTTTCACTTTCTTAATAATTTACATATGCAACTTAATTATTTTATGCTCAACCGTAGCTTGAATTCCACTGAAATCAATTTCGATCTTCTTACTAACTTGAAACATAATTAGAGAAAGAAAGAACGATCCCCTTCACTCTTCAGATTCGTAATGAATGGGATTAAGATAACAAAAAAACAAACAAATGGTAGTATCAACCCCTGTTCTAAAAATCCCCGCCTAGTTCCGATTACTCTCCGCTTAATCGCTAGGCCCACCCTCTTCGCCTCGATTAATGACTAATCCCCTAAAAAATCAGTAACCCGATTATTCTCCGCCTAATCCGATTACTTCCCGCCTAATCCGATTATTTTCCACCTTATCTTATATACCCCGATTATTTTTTAGATTGCAAGTATAAAAAAACCTTTTATTTTTGTTATTCAATCATTTGAATGGGGAGTTTGTGATGTTTTACAATAACTTGTGTTCAAATTTTAATAAAAATCATAAATTTGTAATAAAAATCATAAATTTGTAATAAAAATCATAAATTTTTACAATATTGGATTAATATATTTTAAAAATATTAAAATAACCCTAAAACTAATCCCCGATTAATCCCCGATTTTAATCCGATTTTCCGATTAATCGCTAGGCCCATGCCGACCGCCCGACTAGCGCCTAGCGATTTTTCAAACAAGGGTATCAACTAAAAGCTACCATTAAATTCCATTAAATAGCTTCACATGGGAAATAACTGATGCTGAGGTATTAGATTTTATGGAAGGTCAATGGTAGTATTTGACATTTTCTTATCTAATTATTTTATAGTAAGGAATTAACTATTTTATTTTCTTCTGCTATAACACCATATCCTAGCTTTTTTTAGTATATTTTTATTATCTTGAAGCAAATTCAAAAAATAAAGAGGCTTCTTTTACAAAGCATCCCATTTTGGGCTTCCCTTGTATAATTGCCATTAAAGTTTTGAAACCCTGTTGCATAACTGTCGTTAAGTTTTTTAGTCTACACTAGATCATTTTAAATTTGATTGTCCTCTTAATTGTGAAACATTTAATACACGAGAGATTCCTCCTAAGTTATTAACAGCTATATGTCCTCATGAGGTCTGTATTTTAGTTATTGGCCTCTTGTATTAAATTCTAGTTACTGTTTGTTTCATTTTATTTTGTTACTCTTTCGTTTTCTACTCAAAGTTCAAACATTCAAATATTATCCCTCTAACTTCTCAAATACTACTGTATATAGGAGATCCCGTATAATTACGATCGTGGCAAGATATATATATATATATATATATATATATATATATATATATTTTTTTTTTTGATATGCACTAGTTACTGCCCTTGTTTGAAAAATCGCTAGGCGCTAGTCGGGCGTTCGGCATGGGCCTAGCGATTAATCGGAAAATCGGATTAAAATCGGGGATTAATCGGGGATTAGTTTTAGGGTTATTTTAATATTTTTAAAATATATTAATTCAATATTGTTTTCAAAATTACAGTAAAAACAAATTTTTATGATTTTTATTAAAATTTGAACACAAGTTATGTAAAACATCACAAACTCCCAATTCAAATGATTGAATAACAAAAATAAAATGTTTTTTTTATACTTGCAATCTAAAAAATAATCGGGGTATGTAAGATTAGGCGGAAAATAATCGGATTAGGCGGAAAATAATCGGATTAGGCGGAGAATAATCGGGTTACTGATTTTTTAGGGGATTAGTCATTAATCGAGGCGAAGAGGGTGGGCCTAGCGATTAAGCGGAGAGTAATCGGAACTAGGCGGGGATTTTTAGAACAGGGGTTACTGCAAATAATATGACGTATAGTAAACATTAAAAGTAATAAACTTTATTTTACCATAAGCTTTCTAGTTAGACGAAAAAAAAACACCATAAGCTTTCTAGTTTTGTGAGGTTCGGGAGACTAGACAGGCATTCGTCCAGAATCTTTCCGGTTTTAAAGACTAATTAAACTACCATCATCAGATCAATGGATATCTTTTTTTTTTTTTTGAACATTAATGGATATCTTTTATTTCTTCTAAATTATTGCTAAACCTTTTGTGATAATTATTTACAATGACCAGTGAATATGGAAGTTAGAAACATCTTATAAATGGTTTACATCTTGAATATCCAATTAAACTATAGCACTAGTTATATACATCTATATCTTTCATTCTTCTATATTGTCAAAAACTGTCACCACCAAAAACGTTGATTTATATTCATAATTTGGAAAGTAATTCAAAGTACTCGAGTTTCATGATGGGTACCTTAATTAGCAACGTCCATTTGATTATCAATCAAAAAGAAGTTTTTTAGCTGGCACTTGAAACCGTCGTTTAAAACTTTAAAACGGACGGTTCACGGTATAAATGTACTATTGATTATGTTATTTAAATTTTAATAATTAAAAGTAATTTGTAGTTTTTTTATTATTTGATTCATTATTATTTAATGCTACCACATTATTTCTATATTTAACTATTCAGTTTTTTCATAATATAAACTATTCGACAGTTTTAACCGTACTTATTAGACACTATTTCTAAAATGACTATAAATCACATCAATACAAACTTTTCTCTTCAACAATCTTCTACTATTTACTCATGTAGTTTTATATTTTTAGTATTGCAGTTTATTGATTTAACAATTTAATAAATGATACAAAAAAATTAATTGGTTCTTAAAATGTGTAAAAGTACAAAACAACATTTATAATAAAACAGAGAGAATAGTAAAAATTGTTTGAGAAAATATGTATTAGTGTCACTAAAGTTATTTTACACGTGTTTTCTAGATAGGTTTTTAATACAGTGTAAAATTACAAAACAACATTTATAATGAAACATAGAGAATAGTAAAAATTGTTTATGAAAAATATGTGTTAGTATCACTAAAGTTATTTTAGACATATTTTCTAGAAACCATGTATTAGAAAATATGTCTGATTCATTCAAGAAAACAGTCGAATAATAGTTTTTTACTGTGACAAACAGTTTAATAGATAAAACATAAAACATTGGATAACATCAGCTAATAAATGAATAACAAAAATAAAGTATAACTAATAAAATACGTATATAAATAAACTAAAAATTGTTAGTTGATCAAAAAAAAAAAACTAAAATTTGCTTTAAAATATAAATTAAAAATACAAAACGGAAAATTTATGAAACAAAAAAGTGAAGTCATAAGATTAAAACTATTGTGAAATGGAGGAAATTACTTAAAATTTCGATTACCAATAAAATCATTCATTTTCTTTAAAATTGTAAGATTAACTCTCCCCCTTTACATTTAGCAATAAATAGTTTGCTGCACTGGTTTAAATGCACTAATACATTGTTTACTGAATTGCCTTTTGTTTCATATATTTGTCTCTAGTATACTTTACTATCTTTCCCACCTCCAATCAATAAATTTATTACTAAATAAACAAAGTCATATCTCTCTCTCCATAACATAATTACTTTCTTCAACAAATATTAATTCTTAACCATATTTAGCTCCTCTTCTTCCTTATATATTACACACATACATTTTCTTAAGTCATTCACTACCATCAACCCCATCACCTAGAACAACACAAAGAAAAACAAATACAAAAATACAAAAACCCTCTCGGCGAAACCGAAGTTTCGAAATGAGAAACAAGAACGGTAAAAGAGTTAGAGTTGAGCCATCGACAAGGACCGTGGCATCGGTGGTTGCTAATGGGAGGTTTGAAGGAAGATCACCATCGAGCGACACGTTATCATCGCAAAACTCGTGCCTGTCGACGACGGAGGACGTGAAGGAGGAGATTGCATCGTCGTGGGTTGATGAAGAAGAGGCGCCGGATATGGTGGTGGTGGGATGTCGAAGATGTCTGATGTATGCTTTGGTCTTACAAGAACGTAAACGTTGCCCCAAGTGCAAATGCACCGACTTGATCTTCTTTTAATTAGAGAATTTGTTCTAAGCTATGGTTTCAATTTGGACTTTTGAGTTTGAGATGATGAATTTTATTTTCTTTGTAAAGTCCTCTATATAATTAATCATATTATTTAAGTATTGATCTCTATTTTAATATGTAAAATTGACAGACAGATCATTTCTGTTTCTGGCCGTCCCTGGTTCATTTTGTTAAGTTGTCCATTTTCATGTTTTAATATTTTGGAAGCCAAAGACATGAACGAACGATGACTATTTTTCATCAGAGTTGAGCTCTATTGTTGCAAACGCTAGTTTTGGCGTTTGCTTTTATATGTATTTATTTATATACTCCATGAAAAAAAATACTTTTTCAATGTAAACGAAAAACGCCAAATAAAACGGAAAGTTCATTTTAAAAAGTACTAAAGTATACATTTAAACGCAAACAAAAAAATCGACACGTCTCGAATTAGAGTGCTTACAATCAAATTGGTAGCATACTAAAAATGGTGTTGCTTTGGTTTCATCGGCATCAATCCGGTTTTCAATAATTAAGGATAAAAAATAAATGTATTTCTATTTAACTAAAGCAATATATATTTTGTTTAAAATTGTTACCATCAAATACTAAAATTTAAATAAATTTTACAAAAATCAGATACTAGATTATTTAAGAACTCTCAATAAACTTTGAAAAAATATTGTAAACCTAAACTTAGTGAAAAAGTTGCAACTAAAACTTTTTTTTAAAAAAAATAACTTAATTAAAACTCGTTTTATGGCATTTCTCTATTTCTAAGTACTAAAATTTGTAAAAATGTGTTAGGTAATTAATTTCTAGGTTTTTATTTATATTAAGGCATATACGACGATCAAGAAAAAAAAGCAAATACTCGAAATAAAAAATTTATCCAATAGAGACTTGACATGTCATTTTTAAAAGGGATTACATTTTACAATAATTTAGTTGCAAATCAAGAGAATTTTAATATTAAATAAGGTTTTCATATATACATATATTATTTTATTTTGCATATCAAAAATAATTTTGTTCAAATATAGTTAAAATAGTGTCAAAAGAATAGTTGGAAAATAAAAGGGCTGTTTCTGTTATAATTGTAAATTATGGGTAGTAAAGTTGGAAAATTAATTTTTTTTTTCGTCTTCCCAAAAGTGCCCAATTTGCCTAAATTTGACCCTCACATTTTAGCTTTCTGTCTTTTCACCAGATTCTCTCTATCGATTTCTCCTTACTTCTTCTTCTCGCCTCTCTGCTTCGATCAGATCTCAAAATCAATCGGATCGAAACCACAACTTTATCAATTATGACTCTTGGCTCTGGAGGATCTAGTGTTGTTGGTAAACAATTTCGATTCTTTCGGGTTTGTTCTCGTTTTTGATTTTTTTTTTTCTAGGGTTTTGGAATTATCCCTCGTTTGATTTTTTCCTCTAGGGTTTTGGAGAAATTCGTATTGGGTTTTATTCGTTTTGATCGATAGGTGTTGATAATTTATCATAGGTTTTATCGATCTAGTATTAAAAAACTGTTCTTTGATCTTTTGCCTTACTTGTTAATTTGATTTTCTCTGCTGATTCTTTGTCTAAATCTCATCATATAGATTGATCTGGGTCAATTATGATTTACTGATGTCCCAATTCTTGAGAAGGGTTTAAAATGCGATTCCTGAGTCTCTGATTGTGTAGAGTGTTTGATTGTTTCTAGGACCTTACTTAGCAAGTTTTCATCTTTCTCTAGAGCTCATTGTTGTTCTTCTTCAACTTTGTTGAGTGTTATCTTATTTTTAGTCTGTGTTCTGTTCTCTGCTTTGATTAGAAAAAGTGATTGCTTGTTTTCATTTACCGAAATTTAGTGATATGATTTTCTTTTTGTTATGCTTGTTATTGCAATATAGTTCCGAGGAATTTCCGGTTGTTGGAGGAGCTTGAACGTGGGGAGAAAGGTATTGGGGATGGAACTGTGAGCTATGGAATGGATGATGGAGATGACATCTATATGCGTTCTTGGACTGGCACCATCATCGGTCCTCACAACGTAGTTATATCTTTTTCTTTATCTGCTAACATTCTCCTTCGTCTTTATATATGTTAGCAATTGTTTTAAGAAGCATTGATTAATGTTCGTTGCATCACCATAACTACTTATCCTTTACTCCATGTTTGGAATACAGATCATCAAAACCACATTGTTTTCTAGGGGTGGATCTTATCGACATTCAATCTCTTAAGCTTTTTTAGCAGATTCGGCCATTGTTGCTTTTGCTTGTAGTAACAGGTATCAATTTTATGTCACAGACTGTTCATGAAGGTAGAATTTATCAGTTGAAGCTCTTTTGTGACAAAGATTACCCGGAGAAACCTCCAACTGTCCGATTCCATTCACGTGTTAACATGGCTTGTGTCAACCACGAAACAGGAGTGGTACGTATAAAATCACCACCGCCCTTCCATTCACTGCCTTGTTCCTTTGGATGCTCTGTAACTTTTTTATGCTTGTGTATAGGTGGATCCTAAGAAATTCGGAGTACTTGCAAACTGGCAAAGAGAGTACACAATGGAGGATATACTGACACAGCTGAAGAAGGAAATGGCCACGTCGCATAACCGTAAGCTTGTTCAACCTCCAGAAGGTACTTGCTTCTAGTTGCTTCTGGAATCTTCTTCTGGTTCGCTGGAATATCTTTGCCCCTTCTAATACTAAAGTATGTATCTGGGGGTCCTCCATTGTCGTTCTCAAGGTTTTATTTTAATTCATCAAAAAATGGTCTGTGGATGGTATGGTGATGATGATGATGTTGTTCGATTGATCATCTGAAGTTTTATCATTGTGTGCAAATATCAAAAACAGCTTCTTCCCCACTCCATATGTGTTCAAATCTTTTGAATTTAACTTTCTTTTATCCTAACATTTTGTGTCAGCCCTTTTTATAAATGAAATCTGCTAGATTTTATTGGTTGTTTGTTATGTAATGTACCAAGGTTACCTTCAACAAGAAAGTAACATAAAAAGTCATGAATCTTCAAAATCCGAAGCAATGGAAAAAGAAGCCATGAACAGCTTCGTAACACTTATTTTTGTTTCTGTGATTCAACTAAAGCTAATGTTTACGGTGAATATCAGAACCTTTGAAAACGTAGTGCTGGTTTTTTTCTACAATTTCGTCAAACTCGATATTAGCACACTTTTAATGGATGATGATGCACATGTACATCTATCTTCATGTACTTGTTGATGTCATCGTTCTTGATTTAGCACTCCGTCAATGATGCAGAGAAACTACAACTCAATCGATCACTTGAAAATCAACACAAATTGAATCGTCGTTTATAAAACGAGAATCCAAATTTCATGTGGTAGAGCTTAGAAGTAGAAACAACTCTATCAACAATGAAATATCAAACCCTAAAGAGTTTACAGAGAGAATTGAAGAATAAGAAGATTACACAAATTGATATTTTCTGGTTATCCTCAACAATCGATCTTAGAATTCTATTTAGCTTCAGTTCTTCTCCTCATTTCCAGCCAATCATTAGTTGCCAACTTACAACTTACAACATCCCTCTATTAAAAGCGTCGTGTTAATGTTAAGAACAAATCACAAGCATCATGTTTCTCTAGTAAAATTTCAGGTTTAAAATTATGTTTAATAAATATTAGTAAGCAGTGTCAAAAAAAATATATATATATATAAGCATTGATTTTTTTAATTTAAACAAGGCCGTAGGCGAATATTTTATTTTCTTCAACGGGCCTGCCTACACCAATTAAATTTCATTAAGCTTCCACGTCATCCCAGCTCACCATTTTCCTATAACAGTCAAGAACCGAAGTAGGCTTGGGCATTCGGATTTCGGATCAGATTCAGTTCGGATTTATTCGGATTCGGATAATTCGGATAGGAGATTTTATTATCCGTTTGGATTTTATGACTATTCGGATCGGGTTCGGTTCGGATAGTGTCGGATTCGGATCGGTTTCGGATTGTTTTTCGAGTAAAAAGAAACTAAAAAAGTTCAATTTAAATATAAAAATAGTTTAATCTTACTAAAATTTGGCTAAGTTTTCTAAAAATATGTATAATTTTAACAAATATAACTAAAAACTTTCCGATATCTAGGTTATTTAGGATATTTTTGTTATTTGTTATAAAATTATAGATAAATATAACTAATATTTTTGGATATATAATTTTATATTCGGTTTTCGGTTCGGATCGGGTTCGGTTCGGATAATTCGGATAGGAGAATTCATTATCCGTTCGGGTTTTGTGACTATTCGGTTCGGATTCGGAACCGGATTTTTCGGATCGGTTTCGGATCGGATTTCGGATTTCGGATTTTATGCCCATGCCTAAACCGAAGTATTCGACATAGAAAGTAAAAACTAGGGCTGGGAATTTGAACCGTTCGGGTTTTTCGGTTTCGGTTAGTCGGTTTTCCGGTTTTTTCGGAATATGAAACCTATTCCGAATCGAACCGACTAATAATTCGGTTCGGTTCGGACACGGTTTATTCGGTTATTTCAATTCGGTTATTCGGTTTAGTATTTTGGGCCAAAAAGATTTTGAAAAGTAGGCTTTTTTGTGCAAATAAAAACACAATGGCCTGGGCTTTTTGTGCAAAAAACACATGGCCTGCTAACAAAAAAAAACAAAAGATTTGTCTTTTCTCTCAGATTAGGTTCACGAAGAAGAACACAAATTAGCTTCATCTCCTCCAGTTTACGCTTCCAGGTTCTCACATTTGACACGATCGTACGAGGTCACAATTTACCGACCGACGAGCGTCCGATGAATCCCGAAGACACCGGCGACGAGATCTGAAAGGCGGAGCTCACGGTATAGAAGAAGAAGAAGATGATGATGAAGGATGATGAATAAGAGAAGAAGAAGAAGAAGATGATGGTTATGAATCAAAGAGGAAGAAGGAATAAGAAGAAGAAGGAGAAAAAGAACAAGATGATGGTCATGAATTGAAAAGGAAGAAATAAGAAGGAAGAAATAAGAAGGAAGATGATGATGAATAGAAGAAGAAGAAGGTGATGGTCATGAATCGAAGAAGACTAATGGAAGAAGATGAGGAAGAGAAAGAGAAGAACGGCGGCTAGAACTATAAGAGGCTAGGGTTTTTTTGTTGTTCGGTTAACCGTTCGGTTTGGGTGAACCGATCCGAAATTTTCGGTTAACCGAACCTAATTCAAACTCATTCCGATCGGTTTACTCAAATTAAAGAAACCGAACCGATTTGTCCAAATTTCGGTTCGGTTCGGTTCGGACAAATCGGTTCGGTTCAAATTCCCAGCCCTAGTAAAAACAATCAATCTTCGATATGTAGACCTCTATTTTTCTAATTAGGACACTGTTTAACTTGCTTGAATCGTTAAAATTTTCACAGTAGCCTAACCATAAACGGACTCCGATCCATAATCGTTGATTAAGAGTGGTCTTCGAAAACCAAATAATTAAATAAATTAAAAAAGTGGTTGAACGTAATTAAACCTATAACACATATACACCTTTTGCTCATCAGAAGCTCAATTAATTATGTTTCATCCGATTTCAAGCCCAAAACATTAACACTCAGGGCTGGATGATCCAGCCTGGACCTTATGGTGATAAATGTAATCTCTATAGTTTTTTTTTTTTTTTATTATTATAAAAAATCGTTTCTACAATAGAGAAAAACATAAAAGGAAATTTCTTTCACAATATATGATATAGTTAGAGATTATAAAATGCGTTAAGTATATATAGATTTGACATTCGGTTGTGCGATGATGACAAAATAAACAAGAAATAAAGAAATAAATGTGACGGTGTCCTAGTTAAGAACTTTGGATCTAAACAACAACTTAGTGGGTGAAATATTATATTATCTTCAAAAGCAAGTACATTTAGTTTACTAAATTTTTAGAAACATTACATATTTACATGTACATTACTATCATATATAAATATGCTTCAATTGGTATTTGAGTATTTTGATTCCACGAAATGTAGAGATATGTGAAAAGTTGCGTTTCAAACTTTGCATGATGTTTAGATATACGCATAATCCAATGCCTTTTTATCTTAAGTGAAGTTGTCAACTGTCAAGTTTCAACTAATAAATATGGTGACATTCTGAAATTAAAATTCGGAGATCTACTGTTACATCCATATTTTAACATTTGTGTGTCGACTAGGTTTAAAGGAACATTAAAAAGAATAAAAATTGTGATAGGTACGGTTTTTATTACGGTCACCGAAATTAGACGGACCGCAGACGAATGGGACATATAATTGTTATGGTTGATAGATAACTATGTACGACCAAACTTATAAGTAAAATTATGGATCAGCAATGTAATATGCATGGTCAATGATGTTTTCTAAACTTAAACTTATAATCCTATAACCCTTGTTTACTTTAATCAAAGTTATACTGTTAGGTTCAACAATAAATACGAAATATCTCATTTTGTATTTATACTCCCCTAAGTATATTTCTCCTTTTGACTCCAACAAAAAAAAACGATAACAAACAACAAAGGGGGAAAAAAATGAAAGTCCCATTTTTTAACAAGAGTTTTTCATCTTCATGTTATTCAAATTCAAATCCATCATCATGGGCATGGCCTTCTTGTCACCAAAACCCTAGAACACAATCTTTCAGAGTCACCATCAGTGCAATCAACCCTAATGACGTCGAAGATGAAGAGGAGGAGGAGGATAAGGAAGAGGAAGAGGAGGAGGAGGAAAAGAGGGAGGAAGGAAAGGAAGAGGAGGATGAAAATCTGCTTCCTGACATCATTATCTCCTCCCCATCCTCCTCCATCTCATCCAACATCGACGCCATAGAAGAGCTGCCGGAGACCGAATCCATAGAGAATGTGATCAAAGGGATAAAATCATCAAAAAGACTCATCTTTGAACGTAAAGGAGAATCAAACTCAATTCTCGAAGAGATGAGGAACAAGGATTCATTCTCTTGTCCTTGGAATCCAACTACACTTTCTCTAATTTCAAGTGGTTCATGGTGGAGGTGGTTGCGGTACACTCGCTTTATCGCGGCTACACCCAATTGTATCGTGAAAACTACTGAATAGATCATTGATATATAGTCGATAAGTTGTGATGAGAAAAGAAGCAAACATGCACAAATGCACTTGACGGTTGTCCTTGGTTAGAACATGTTATGTCTAGAGTGATTGATGCGGACCGAAGAGATCACTTTCCGAGCTTTCATCTTATGTTATGTGATCAATTAGAATATTCGTGAAATCTTCTTTCGTTGCTTTCCATGCGTGCGACTCATGCCTGATATAGCAACGGTACATTTTTTTTTTAATATAATCTATTTTTGTAGTTGTTCTCTTATCAAATAGAACAGATTTTTCTTTTTCCAAACAAGACAAAACCCATTAGTTTTATACTTCGAAGTAATAGATTAGTTCCAGTGATTCCATCATTAATTTATAGTAGCTATTTGAAAAAATAAATAAAGGATGGTTAACAACATACAATTACACATTCTAGAGTCCTGATTTAACTAAAATAGTTATTTGCAAATACTTTGTGTTACAAATACAAACCAATAGATTGTACGACCTGGTCATAAATCCCATTGTCTTCGATACACGTGATTGGACTTAAATCTTAGTTTTTTTTTTTTTTTTTTTTTGACGAAAACTGCAACATGATCGGTAGCTGAAAACCCTTAATTTGACTATTTCTATCAACATATGACTCTTCTACAGAAAATTTCTAACTAATTATATGCATGTAACTGCTAAAACAGTGAATAAAAAAAAGGTGAAAGTATATAAAAATTTTACTATTGTCTTTTTAACTTTTATAAACTGCTTTATAAGATTCAGAATAACATCATGTTTGTGGGTGACACAAGTCTGTCCATTTAGACTTTTAATTTATCTCTCTCTCTCTTTCTCTTATATTTTTTGTTGTATTCCTCTCTTCTCATTTTATTGCAGTTGTGTTTTTTTCACTTATTCTTTATCTGCTAATTGATAATTATAACCGGTTATAGTCAACTAATTTTGAAATAAAATCTCTCGTTTTCCCATTTGTTTTCTTTCCGTTATTCACACACTTCATATCTTGAAAATAAATACCAACGTTAACCTATTTGGGTTGGGCTCAGTTTTTTTTTGACGTAGATCAATCAAAGTTTCTTTTTTGACGTAGATCAGTCCAAATTTCTTTTAGATATGTTCGTATTCAAGTCGATGGCCACGATGCTTTAACTTTTAAGGTCCTAGCATTAAAGCAGTATCAGATTTGGGAAAGAATTATTATTAAAATTTGGGAAATGTTTCAGTTGAAGCGACTGCCACAGAAATTATAAAATTGTTTAGCATCGACGTCATATCTTTTGATAGTTAGTTGGTTCCTTCGACTGTTCGTTGAGTTTTTTTTTTTTTTTTTAATATACTTTTATTATTCTCTTTTAATTAAGTTGTGTTATTTTAAAAGTGTAGGATACGTACACGTACATTACATACCTATATATTAATATATGTTTTAAATTCGTTGTTCTCCTTTCAATTTACAATAATTAGATCTTCGTACTATCTTTAGGTCTAAAACATTACGTTACACTAACACTGAACATTTATTAAAAGGTCTATCTGTTATAAAATTTAATAAAAAGACTACCAACCAAAGGGATGATCGGCTTAGTGGTATATTAATTAAGGATTATAATATTATGATCATGATAGATATTTTCGGTAGGTACAGGTATCAAGTTTCAATTAACTACTTTGGTGATATTGATGATTTCATTTTATTTTGGAGATCGTTTATGTCATGTTGTTGTATCTATCTATATTAACAGTTGCCTGTCAATCTTTAATAGGAACATTAATCAAACATTGATGTTGATTAACTTTGGCAGACACTAGTTCAGTACGTGTAGTTACGTTCCATATTCATATATACGAAAATATTTCTATCCATTTCCTAAAGTTTAATTCGTTTAACAATGATATATTTTTTAATTTTTTAATTTTTTATTTTTTAAAATATCAGATCATATTTTTATCCATTTAAGATAAAATTACTTAAATTCTTTGACCAAAAAAAATAAAAAACAAAAATTTTTTTACTTAAAATTACCATAGTATGCATGTACGTACTTATCGTGTATTTGTAAACAGTGACGAATTTGTGTACTACTACATTATTGACAAACAAAAATTATTGATAACGGAAAAATTATCAACTATCAAGTGCATGAAACAATTAGTTATGTTATAAAGTGATATACTCTCACGATTAATCCATGTATTAATAAATAAATAAATGTTAATGTAATTTACTAAAATTTCAAAACTCACCAAAAAAAAAATCTAAAATTTCAAATATATCCCTTTAGATTTTGGATATTCAAATATCAAATTGTTATAAATACACAGAAAATCTAAACCGGGAAAATGTACTTACAAAAATTGAATGATCCCCAACCAAACAACAATAAATTTGGTGCCAATAATTAAATACACTAACCAAAAAAGATTTAATTTAAAAATCAAAATAAATCAAATAAAGTTTCTTTTCCCCACCCATCCTTTCGTGCAGCCTCTCCTCTCCTTTTCAAAAGCCTTAAAAATCTTCCTTCCCTCTCTCACCATTAATTCCCTAAAATTTCCTATAATTTTGAATCCAACCCCAAAAGAAAAGAGAAATTTACATTCTTTTCTTGTCTAATATTTTCTCAGCAACCAAACAAGAAAAAAATAATGGTAAGGAAAATGAAATTCCCATTTCTAAACAAGAACACTTCATCTTCATCATTTTCTTCAAATTCATCATCTTCTTCCTCTTCATGGCCATGGCCTTCTTGTCATCAACAAAACCTTAAAACAACAATATCTTCCAAAGCTTCCTTCGTCGTTAACAAACCTAAACATGTCTACGAATCCGAGCCACCACCAAGAAGCTTCTCCTCATCACCCTCTTCCTCCTACTCCTCCTTCTCCTCTACCAGCCATGCCATGGAAAATCCTCCGGAGATAGAGTCTATAGAGAATGTGATCAAAGGGATAAAATCATCGAAAAGACTCATATTCGAACAGAGTGGAACATCGAACTCTATACTCGAAGACGCCACCAAGAGAGAAGATCACGAAGAAGAAGAAGACTTCATGCTCTTGTCCTTGGAATCAAACGATCCTTACTCTGATTTCAAGAACTCAATGGAAAAGATGGTTGAAGCACACGTGCTTCATCATGACTGGATAAGCCTAGAGAAACTTCTCTTTTGGTTCTTGAAAGTCAACGTCAAGACCAGCCATAGATACATCTTCGCCGCCTTCGTCGATTTGGTCTTAAACTTAGCAGTAGGACCTTCTAAAGATGTCGTCGGAGAGCCTAATTCTGACGTCGTAGTCGAGGATTCTCTTTCATCGTCGTGGCCGGTCTCCTTGTACTCATCCTCCGATGAGACCTCGTCGACGTCCGTACGACTCTTGCCGGAGACTTCGATAGGCGAGAAGAGTAGAGACGTTTGTTGTTTATCGTCATTGTTTGAGTTAGAAGAGAAGATTAAAGACAACATTGATTCAAATGGTTATGTATCTTCTTAATTCCTTCATTTGATAATATTAATATATATGGATACTCACTTCTTCTTTTACTCGGATTCAAAATTACGGAGGTAACATCGATTACACGTGTACATCTTTTGTATCACGATGCAGAAGCTCTTTTTCTTTTAGTGCAAACTTTTTAACCCTAAAAAAAGGGAAAAATGTCGTTTTATCTCCCAACTTTCATAAAGTGGCCAATCAATACGTCAAATTCATATGTGGCCATTTAAAACATGAAATAAACGTTGACTAACGTTTGAGACATGAAAATTCGTTGACCAGGCCAAAATAGACATGCCGTTATCAGTCGTTAACGGAACCTCTAACGCCCGTTATCACCCGTAACGACTCTGTTAATCAACTTTCAAATTGTGGCCATTTTAAACATCAACTTCATATGTGGCCATTCAAAACATGAACTAAACGTTGACTAACAATTTGAGACATGAGAATTCGTTCACTAGGCCAAAATAGACATGTCTTAATCAGTCATTAACAGAACCTATAATACTTGTTATTACCCGTTATCGATTCTGTTAGTCTGCCAAAAACGACGTCGTTTTGAAAATAATCGAGAGGAAATCAGGACAAATTTTTTGTTTAAAGCATAATCCAAGGACATGGTTTGATATATAGATAATCATAGAGCCAGTAATTGGAAGCAAACATCGTTTATATATTTGTTTTAAATCTAAAAAGGAATCATGGAAGCAAACTTGTAGACCCATCATAGGACTAAATGTAGCTTTTCTGAAATGGAGATGGAGATAATAGGACTATTCATCTTGTTTGAGCTGTTGTAGAAATAGATTTGGGGATTTGGTGTTTTCATTTGGGAAAAATCTTGATTTTCTTTCGATTTTCCTCAAAACGAAGTCGTTTTGGACATACTAACAGAGTCGTTAACGGGTGATAACGGATGTTATAGGTTCTTTTAACGAATGGTGGCGACATGTCTATTTTGGCCTGGTCAACGAATTCTAATGTTTCAAATGTTAGTCAACGATTAATTCATGTTTTAAATGGCCACATATGAAATTGATGTTTAAAATGGCCACAATTTGAAAGTTGACTAAGAGAGTTGTTAGGAGTGATAACGGGCGTTAGAGGTTCCGTTAACGATTGATAACGGCATGTCTATTTTGGCCTGGTCAACAAATTTCCATGTCTCAAACGTTAGTCAACATTTATTTCATGTTTTAAATGGCCACATATGAAGTTAACGTATTGATTGGCCACTTTTTGAAAGTTGGGAGATAAAACGACATTTTTCCCCTAAAAAAAGAGGCTATTGATCAACAAACTCTTGTTGCTCAAAAAAAAAAAAAAAAAAAAAAAAATCAACAAAAGGCCTTATTTGATGGGCTGAATAGAAATTATATAATGGGCTATAAAGGCCTTGTTTGGTTATGAAGTTGTTTACTTCTTTTTTTCCAGGTCAACTTTTCTGTTTTTTTGGGTTAATTTTCTGCTAATTTTCTTTTTGTCAAATTAGTAACGATTTTTAGCGCAAGGACCTTGTATATCTCTGAGCGTTAAAAAGATCTTTATATAAATCAATGGCTACGATTCTGGCGGCATATCCCATACCACCAAGAATGTAGCTCTCTGATAATCGTTCACCACCATGGCTGATAGAGATGGTATGGTGCACAGTTGAGCACTTGGATCTTGATATGATTTACACTGATTTTGGTTGCTGCGGCCATAACGATAATTAACCCTGTGACTAAGCTCAAACAGCACTCTCGGCATGTAGCTCTTGTCTCCAATGCGTGATGGTCCATCGCTCTTCTCTGAAGGCCCGGTAGCAGTCTCCTTAAAGTGGCCAGATTTTCTTGAGAGCCGGATGAAGTCGCATTTCGTGATCTGTATAATTTAAATCCACAACAACAATGGGCATGTTTCAGCAATTGTTCCAGCTGGCATATCAGTTGTATCTAACGAATGCTTCGTAATGCTTGCCATTTCGGTCATTGTTGGTCCAGCATCATTCGCTCTTCCATCATTCATCATCATTATTGGTTAACATGTTTTATGCCTTCTGATTCCATGGCAACCCATATTTTAGGAGCAAGACATCAAACATTTGATCTGATATTCACCTGTTACCATCCAATGTTAACACTATACTTTCAGTGTCAGCGTTACAATCAATAAGCTTTCATGAATCAAGGAACTAAGCGACCATTATTGTAAGTTATGATAATAAACGAAACTGAGAAGCTACAAACATTGTATGTTCAAGCATTGCGGAAATTTAAAGAATGACTCACAATATCAATTGTTGCCGTTTCTGATGGCATCCGGCTTCCAAAAGCACGACCTTTTTTCTCTGCAAAAAATTTAGAAAGATATTGGTACACACCTATTTTACGCGTGCCTATACATTTTCCCACCCATCTAAAGATATCACAAATAAAAAGTCTAAATGCTAGATCATTTAGTGAGCTAACCCAAGATATTGTCTTTGAGTGCTATGTTTTCAGTATGTGTTGCAACAAATTGTGACCCAAATGGTTTAGAATTCTAGCCGTCATAAACCACAATTTATAAGCGAGGAAGAAAATCAAACATCCTCACATATAACAGGCAGTAGAACTAGTTGACTTGTTACATTGGTATCAAGAAAGAAGGCGAAAGTACATTGCTATCTTACAAGAACACGTATGTCATCTGTAATTGAAATGAGTACCCCTTCTCAGTATTAGTCAGCCAGAAGTCAACACTTGCTCAATTCCTTCATCATTCAGCCAAAGAAGCACACATATCAAAACAGCAAGTGTTTGCAACAGTCGTAGCACACATATCAAAACAGCTAGTGTTTGCAACGGTCTTATATTTCTTCCAACTGAACTGAAACATTGTTTCAATATTGGAAAGCAATACATGTATGCTCATGGAAGACTCACAACGAAGGCTACAGAAATAAACGAGGAAAAAAAAGACAGCTCAGTAACAGTTTTCTGCAACATACCGCAATAGCTGGAGCCCTTCCCATTCCAGCAGTGGAGTACACTGTGCACGTATGTAACTTCTCCATTTTGCTTAACAGCTTTGTACAGTGTACTAACCACGGCAGGAAGAAGCATTCTCAAATCAGATACATCAAAATCTCTGTTACATCAAAGATTACAATACGTCAAGCCCTACATTGTGAGTGAGTTCGTTCATGGTGAATTTTCTCAATGCATGTACTCGTGAACAGTACCATACATGTCAAATGTGAAAAGTGATGACGATGGTTCCAAGTCTTTAGCAGTAAAGACAATTAGTGAGAATGGGATGATGACTAACTTTCACAATTTTTCTAGTTTGACAACAAAACAAGGTGGACAAACAAAAACGGTCATTGATAGCAGTGATTTTGTCATAAATCACTGCTTACAAAAGTCAGTTATTGCTTACAAAAAAGTGTACTGAGCTCCCATTTTGTCACGAAAAAGTGATTAGAGTAGATAGCCCCAAGAGATAAGAAAGTATAACACTTAACTAACCAGAAAAATAAGGAATTTCAAGATTTATGTTCCACCAGCCATCTAAAGATATCACAATTATAATGACTAAATGCTAATACTATTTGATGAACTAACCCAAGCTTTTATCTTTTGAGAGCTATATTTTCAGTATATATTACTGCAAAACGTGATCCAGTGGTCTAGAAATCTAATTATCATAATCATCGGTTCATAGGAGAAGAAGCAAATTCCGAAGCATCCTCACATAATATAACCGGCAGTAACACTAGTTTAACATGCTGGATTATATATCAAGGAAATCATGTAGAGAGAACATAAACCAGAGGTACATTAGTATCTTACTATAAGTAATTTATGAGCTTCCATAAGTTTATAGTCTTGCACCCAGAACATGTAAGTCAACTGAAACTGAAAATACTCTTCTCAATATTAGTCAGCCAAAAGTCAACAATTGTTCATTCCTTCATTAGTCAACCAAGAAGTACAAATATTAACACAACTAATGTTGGCAACAGTCTTAAATTTCTTCCAACTGAACTAAAAAATTGTTGTTTTGATACAGGAAACCTATACATCTACACCCATGAAAGACGCACAATGAAAGATGTGCTACAAAAATAAAAGGGAGAAAACGAGAAGAGAAAGTAACAGGTTTCTGCAACATCCGCAACAGCAGGAGCCCAAAACAAAAATCATATCGAAAAATTCTCCAACTTCCCATTCAAGCAGTACAGTGCACGTATGTAACTCCTCCATTTCGCTTCACAGCTTTGTACAGTGTACAACCATGGCAGGAAGACTTATTCTCAAATCAAATGCATCAAAGTCTCTGTTACATCAAAAGATTTTAATATGTCAAGTCCTAGGTTGTGACTTGTGAGTCTATGCATGCTCCTGAACAGTCTCATATATGTGAAACGATATAGGTTCCAAGTTCTCTAGCAGCTAAGACAATTAGTAAGAACGGGATCATGACTAACTTCTGCAATTACTCTCATTTGCAAACAGACAAAGAGGTAACTGACAACAGAGACTTTACAACTCCTCGAAACAAAAAGTCATTCGCCGTTCTTGAAAAACCAATTATTGCTTGCAAAAAACTGTGCTGAGCTCCCATTATGTCAAGGAAAAATTGGTGAGAACAAAGAGCCAAGAGAGAAAAGGAAAATGTAACAATTGACTGATAAAACAATAGGAATTTGAAGACTTCTTGCTCTGGCACTACCCTCCAACGATGCATAAACCCTTGTCCCCTTGGCTATGCAGATAATACTCAAGAAAATAAACTCCCTACCTCATAGGCTTCTCACAATTCCTAATTAAGCAAAAAGAAAGGTATACTTAAACGGGAACTAAAAAAGAGCTCTCATGATCTACCCCTCAATCAATTACGCATTAGTTGGTGCCAATCGATCACAAGTTCACAGCCAAATCATCAAAATATCATAAAATAAGGCTTGCATTACCAAGGCCTTAACAGCAAAATATGCTGACTATCACCACATTTCTTAGCATATACTGAGTATCACCGCAATGCAAACCAAAATATGGTTTTCAACCCAAATTCCGTAAAACTTGCCAACAGCCTTAGGGATCTAGCAAACAAGCAGAGCATATAGAAAGAACGCCAAGAAAGTAACACAGCTCCAAGAGATTCAATATATTTCACAATGGGATAAGAGAAAAACCTGTAAGAGTGATCCAACAAGTAAGTCTGGACGAATGAAGTTTGTAGTTCATTCCTAATTCGTGACAGTAAGTTATAACTGAAATGAAAACACACAAGAATCAATCAGTGACTGAAGTGCATAGTTATAGGAGAAGAAGAAAGTTGAGTAAGCCAATGAACAAGCAAAAAAAATAGATTAGGATTCCTTGGCGGGCATATTGACAAAACTAATCTAGATAAAACTAGAATACAATCTAAAGAACCAAATCATAAACTTGTGTGTTTTGTTCTTCAAATGACCATTCCTGTATATACAAACGATAGACAAAAACAGGTACCAATAGAGTAAATAAACCCATAGCTTGAATCATATCTTGGCTCTATCCTTCAGATTTATCTTCTCTCCTCGAAAAATACTCATCTCCAAGTGGAACCTTAAATCAATCTGACAAGTTTCATACAAAGCAATCAACAAGACTCAAATTTTGAAGAAAAAATGAATCTAGTCAATAATTCTCTTATGATTCTACTACCTTATTTCAAAAATTATCTCATGATTAAACGAATCGAATCAAGAACCCAAATCTAGATAATTTCTGAAAAGCAAGAACAAACCTGGGAAGATTCTGAAAACGAGAAACATTGTAGAGAAATATGAGATGTGGAAAGTGTGTAATTGTGAGTTATATGGAGGGTAATATTGTCTTTTCATATTTACCGAATAATAAAGAAAGAAAAAAATGAAAAATCTACATATTAATAGAAAGGTTTTTGTTTTCGCTGTGAAGTTAGTTCGCGCTTATCATCCATCGTCTTCTTCATCATCATCATCCACTTCAACAATGGCGAACGTAATGAATGAAGTCAATATTATGCTTTACGAGCTATTTCTCTTGGAGACTGGGGTATGTTCGAATCCGTTTCTCGATTTCGATGTTGCTTGCGTACAACTCGTTGATTCTTCCTTCAATCTTGTTTGTTTTTGATTCTGTTCGATTCGAAGATCAAGCCTATTTTATTGTGTATACTCGCCTGGATTTCGAATAACGTTTGCTTAGAACGATCGAATGTGAAACCTCGAAGCTTAACACGAACTTGCGTTTGATTCTGTTCGAATTTGTGTATTTCCGCTTTTAAGACTTAAACTCTTGAGACTTGTGGATTTGGAGTACTAAGAATGATGAATTTGTGTGCGATTTATTCTGTAATCTGTTCGAATTTGTTGTGTTTGATCCTCTTGCCTTGTGGATTTGGAGTACGTAGACCGATTGAATGAGAAATGCCAACTTTCGTGCGATTGATTCTGTAATCTGTTCGAGTTTTTGTGTGTTTAGCATCTTGCCTTGTGGATTTGAGTACTTAGACCGATTGAATGAGAAATACGAACTTGTGTGCGATTGATTCTGTAATCTGTTCGAGTTTGTGTGTTTGAGCTTTCTTGCCTTGTGGGTTTTGATGAATCTTTGTATGTTTGAGCCTATTTTCTTGTTGTTTAGGATGTATCTTTGTATGTTGGAGCCTCTTTCCTTGTGGTTTTGGATGAATCTTTGTGTGTTTGAGCCACTTGCCTTGTGGATTTGCAGGAATTTATCTTGTTTATTCACATTCATCAGATTTTTATTTACTCAGAATTAGCAAGGAGATATGAATATGAAACATTAAGATATAGACTAAGCTAAGTAAGCATGGCTCAAATACGTTATCGTTCTGTTTGCAGATGATTCTTTTAACTTCTCCTCTCTGATTTTTCAGATGAATGAGTGCACCTGGGTACAAGAGAGACTTGCAGCTGGTGATAGGCTTTCTGTCCAAGCTTTCTTGAGGCGCCTTACCGGAACCATTACTGATGTCGAGAAAAAGGAAATGGTATATTTAGTCTCTCTCCCTCTCTCGATCTCTCTCTCCAACGCTAATCCTGAGAGACCCGTCCATCGTCGTCAGCAATCACAAACGTTTCTAGATGTAAGGCTCTTCTGCCCGATACAGTAAGGAAGAAAACATATGCCTTGAGACTTTCTGGTTCTTAGAATGTAAATCCATCATCTTTGGATCGGCTGTTTCATTTCTGAGAGCTGTAACTATCTGAATCATCAAACTATCCTTTTTCATTCCCGGTATAGTGTCCACTTTTGCTCTGACATTCTTACATTTTCCTGACTGTTATATAACATAAAAGGTTGCAGTGTTTTCATCTTTGCATTCATTTCTCATATACCATGCATTTAAGCTCAATTTTAAGAGAAATCAACAAACAGCTTCGTATATACTTAGAGAAGTACTAGGAGATGCTCTGAAAAATCCTGCATTAGACATAGAATGCAACAGTAAACAAGGTCTTGGGGAAAGGATTAATCTAACTTCATTTTTAGAATGCAACAGTCTATATAGCATCCAACAGTAGGCAAGCTTCTGCAGTAGAAATTGCGTTTGAGTATACTATTGCTATATGTATGTTACTTGCAGATTTAAGATGAGATGTAGGATGATATATAGCCCAATCTTAAACTGTGACCAAAAATATTTCAAGAAACGACTGAAAAATATTACAACAAGCTGATACAAAACGTAACATAATCTTTTTTAGGTCTCGAAATCATGATGCTCCCAATATCAATCATCCCATAAAATCCTCTCCAAAAACCTGCTTATCTAGAACCATATCAAATAAGAGTTACAGATGCTAACTAAGAAATCCTGCATCAGTCATTATATAACCGAATCAGGATAATCATGAAGACTGTTCTGTTCCAGTATTCAAATAGATCATTCCAATGTACTTGGAAAAGCTTACCTCAGTTCAGTCATTAAAGTACCATTACTTATGGATGTCGCCAATCACAGCATATTCACAACCACCGTTACTTTGGTATCAGCAAATCTTACATCTACTGAAGCAGGATCTCTCCAATTTTCTTTTCCATAGGGAGAAATATATGATTTGGCATTTGACAAACAATGACTTCACTCCTGTTTTATTCACGAACTTGCTTGAGTGCAAAGCAAGCAACTTTCATCACAGCTCTTGATACATTCATATACAATCCTTGCTTTCCATCTCGATCTTCTCTCAACTCCATGCTCTTGTAACTTATGTCCTCCATGCCTTTACGAGTTCCTACCAGCTGTTTTAGAGTGTTCCACCATGCACGCATCCTTCAAGTATATCTATAAGATAATGGAAAGAATATACGCTGTTGGATATGGTAGGCATTGATGGGAAAATTTCTACAATAATTATTATCTACCTATATCTTTATATTATCTCTTGTCCTGGTTTATTCTTTCTTCAGGTGCTTGACGCTGCAAAACTTCTTCACATAAAGGAACATTCTGTTATTGACGCATCTGAAAATGTCTTCAAGTTGGCTGCATGCACCAGTAGAGTGCAATGGGAGTATTGAAAGTGATAAGTGTTAACAGGCATTATCTCTTAGACTTGATGAGAGAGACGCCTCGTGATGCCAATTATACGGTCCAGAGTCGTGTTTTTGTGTCATAAGACCGAAACTGATCACGTCATTTTGCCAGGTTCATATACATTATATTTTAGAACCTTATTCACACACGTAAATCATATCATTCTCAATAATCAGTTTGTTTTCGTGATTGAGAAACCATTTCCTATGGTAAGATGTACTACTCATGAGACACATGAAGTCAATGCAGGCACAAGTGAATGGGTTCATGTAGGCATATGTACATTTTTTTATTTTTTTTGGTATATGTACATTTCATTCCTAGCTTTTACTCCATTGCTGCTATGGAAGGCCAAACTGCTGAGCATCTTCCACACATTGTCTCGAGATATTCAACCACTGTCATGTTAATTAGTTAGCTTTCTACTTGTGTACATCTTCATCTTCCTTGTGTTGTGTTATCATCTCTTCTCTAATCACTAAACATGTGTATCAGGCGTAATTTATAAGGGTTGCAAAGATGCACCCTCCATGCTCTTTAGAGCTCTTGTTAAGTTGAGAACATGCAATGCTGCTTGAGTATACATGTGGGATGAAATAGGTGTACAATTTGTAGGTTGACAGTTATGGTATGTATATATAACCCAATCTTGGGAGCTTTAGAGCATGTGTACCTATAGTCTTTCATGGAGTCTCTCAACAAACAATAAAAAAATAATATTATTATATTATATAAATATAATTTTATTATTATTATATTAGATGGATCTTTTAAAAGTTGAGAGAGCTTTCGACTTTTAATAGAGACATAATAATATTTTGGCTTTGAATGGTAACTCATTATCAAAGCGGTACAGAATGTACAGCTTTGACAGTTACCAATCACAAAAGTTTTATCAAAAGTGTTACTAACAGTTAAAAAACTTACACAGCTAAGAATAGAGAAAAATAGAGTATTTAGATTAAAACGTAAGATAAACTAGGTCTCCAAATACATGATGCTTTCAATATCATCCCAAAATGTTACATCCAAAAACTTGCATATGCAAAAACTATCAAATAAGTTCATTACTTGAATGTGTCTTGTTATCTTGTTCTTCTCCAAATCATAAATGACAGAGTGTGGTTTATGTATATTGATCTCTTTCGATGACAACCTAATTTCACAGCTGTGATTAGTGGCATGTATCAGCACCCCATTGGACATGGCAAGTGATCGCGTTTGAAAAATAGGCAAATCAATAGTCTTCTTGTTCGACCATTGACTCTTCCCGGCATCTTTAACAACCCATAGATCCATGCTACCACTATTCAATACACTTGAATATTCGAAAACAGCTAATTTGCCTTTGTAATTCATGAGATTTGCGGGAGACGTGTTCCATACAATGCCAGCCTCAAGGGGTAATTCAATCAAAGTGAACTCTTCAGACCTCATGTCAAAACTCATAACAACACATCTATTTTTATCAACCCAAGCTCCATAATACAAAACATTGTTGATGGAGATACCTTGTGAGTACGGACGATGAGGAGGAGGAGTAATGGTGTTTTGAGTGTTTCTCCATGAAGCTTCAGGACCAAGTACCAACACATGATGCTCGGATCTCACTACTCTCTCTTCTTCGCTCATCTCCCAAACTGTGCTAAACACTTTGTATTCGTCGTGAACAGGGTCGTGCCCAAAATAGTTCCACACATTGTCAATAGGTTTAGCCACAGTTATTGGTCTTAAGATAGGTAAGGTCACATGTTGCCTGGTGGTGAGGTTACATATTCGAACTCTTGTCCCAATTCTGAAACACACCAACCCGCGAAGAGCGTTCACAAAGCAGCCTTCTATTCCACGCATGTCCAAATATTGGTCGAGATCAAAGACAGGGACAGAGTCATAAGGCGATATGACAGGGACAGAGTCACGAGATGATGAGACCAACGCATAGTTGTAGTTCATTTCCTTGTCCACCAAAGACATGAACAGGCGCCGTCCTTGCGTAGATGATGAAGATTTATGGAAAATATTGGTAAGATATCGAGAGGAGATTAAGGAGTACCAGAGCTTTGACACACACTTGAATCTCATCAGTGATTTCGCCGGTAGTCTCGGCAGGATCTCCATTAAAACATTCTCTGGGATTGAAATCTTCCATTGTGGCTTCACGACGGTTCTTCTTCTCTTTCTCTCTCTTTTTCCGGCGGCTAGACGAAACGAAAACCTCATGCTTCCAGAGTTTGCTTTTTGTCAATTCTAATCTAAGCCCTTCTTATACAGACGTGTTTATTCACAAGTTGTTTAGGAGTAATTATTTACCTTTTTACTTCTTTTTCCTTACTTTATTTTTTTTTGGTAGGATCTTTTTCCTTACTTTATTATATTCACTAAATGACTCCAATTTTTTATTTTCCCTTACTTAATTGTATTTTTATTTAATTGGCGCAAATAATTCAATAAAATTGGGGATTCTGGATTTGACTTCAATGTATTTTTTTTTGTATGGTTGGTTGGTCACTTTAATGTGATAAATTGATGAGAGTAAATAACACAAAAGTGTGTAGGAAGAATTATAATAGATTCTCATGAGATTAATGTTTAAGATACAACGATATATATAGAGAATTAGAGATAAATCTTAAACCTAATTTCGTAAATTAAGATAGAGATAAATGTAAATTATACTTTAAAGATAAATGTAAATCTTCCTAAACTAAGATATGATAATTTTTTGTTGTAAAAAAAAAAAGATATGATAATATTCTAGATCCTTCTCGATTTTCATGATTTTCATATTCTTGGACAATCATCTCGACTGTCAATCTCCGGTTCTCCCAATATAATGCCTTGTGATGTTGAATAAATTGAGGGATTTTATACTTTACCAATTTAATTGATTTTTTAATTGGTATGTCATATTATGAGAAGCTTTGTTTTGTGAACTCGTCTTCTAAAAATAACTGGGTTATTTGAAACATAAAACTTCTTATAGAGGATATGACCCTAAAAGAGAATTGTATGCATAACGTACGGAGAAGGATTAAGACGGTGAAAGATTCTGGTAGATCAAAGAGAGGCATCAACGTTGGTGTTGCGAACCATTTTATCGGAGAAAAGAAAGTTGTGTGTTAGGTTTCTCAGTCCTGTTGTTAAGAGTTGCTGAGCTCCAAGAATGCTTCTCCATGCATAAGAGTTGAAAAATCTTAGAAGAAGAAGCAGAAGCTTCGAGATGTTTGATGGGTCTTACTGCAGGAAAAAAACTCAAAACTACTAACTATTTAAGCCGAGGGTTTCTTTTGTTAACCAATAATTCCTTGATGTGGAGAGCTGGTTTGGTTCGTTACCACAAATCAAACAACAAATAGCAATTCAATTACCTTACGAGTTATGGAGTCATGTATGTATGGATCCAACTCCTCACATTGTTCATATGAAATGTAATAACTTTAATCTTAGGAGCTCAAAATGGTATTGTTTTATGCAAAAATAATTTAGGTCTCCAAATACATAATGCTCTCAAGATCATCCTCCCAAAAAATCGTATGCAAATCCCTGGATGTTCCACAAAACCAGAGCACTGATGAGGTTATTGCAAGTCTTCTTGTTATTTTGTTCTTCACCAAATCATATATGACTGAGGGTCTAGTTTTAAACGATCTGATATTTGTCTTTAGCAGCCTAATCTCACCGCATCGACTCATGCATTGTATCTCCAACTCATCGCCATGAACAAAATTCATCTGTGAAAGAGGTAAGACCAGATTCTTGTTTGACCACTTCATTATCCCCTGGATCTTCCAGAACCCACAGGTCCACATTTGCATTAGATGAAAGGCTGGAGTATTCTAAAACAGCTAATTTGCCTCCGTAGTTGATGAGGTTTGCGCGATATTTGTGCCAGACAATGCCAGCCTCAGTGGGTAATTCAAGCTCCATAATAAACACACCGTTGATGGAGATACCTTGTGAGTAAGGACGATGAGGAGGAGGAGTAATGCTATAAGTGTTTCTCCAGTTAGCTCCAGGACCAAGTACCAACATCTGATTCTCGAATCTCACAATGCCCTCTTCCTCGCTATCCTCCCAAACTGTGCTAAGAACTTTGTATTCATCATGAACAGGGTCATGTCCAAAATAGCTCCAAACATTGTCATTAGCTTCAGCCAAAAGTCTTGATCTTATGGGCAAATCCACGAGCTGCATGGTGGTTAGGTTACAGATTCGCACACTTCTCCCAAGTCTGACACAGAGCAAGCCACGAAGAGCATTCACGAAGTAGCCCCCTAGTCCTTTGATGTCCAGAGTTTGGTCGAAGACAGAGACAGGCGTATCTACGTGATCAATATGCGAAGATGATGAAAGAAACTCATAATTTCTCTGGTATTTCTTGTCCACAAGAAACATGAGTAAACGCGGTCGTTTGGACAATGATGAGGATTCAAGGAAAAGGTTGGTAAAATAGCGGGAGGAGATTACGGAATACCAGAGCTGTGAGACGCACATTGCCCTCGTCACCTGTTTGGCCGATAATTTCAACAGTATCTCAATGAATAGATCCTCAGTGAGATTCTCAAAGCCGCTGGATTTAGAATCGGACTTGACCATGGCCTTCGACCACACCTTCTTCTTCCTCAGCCCTTTCACGGCGGGAGAACGAAAAGATATTCCATAGCAGCTTTTGATATATCTGTTGTTCCAGAGCCTCGATCTTTCTTGTCAATTCCAAAGTTCTTTACCCACACCACAAGTAACATGTATAAAAAACTTTATACTAAAACTCTGTTACTTTATTATCCTAAGTAAATAGAAATTAAGAAATAGGAAAGTGATACTATTTTCCTTTTTTTGTTTGGGATAATATACACTTTATTTTTTGTTAGTTATTGAATAAGTACGCGTAAAAATATTTTCCCTTTTTTCGGGATAACTATTTTTAGTCAGCTCTGTGTGTATGAATTTACAAAAAAACTACGAGTATCAGCCTATCAGGTATTGATATCATTGTTATTTTTTAGTTGAGCTTTGAAACAATAATGATCGGAATTTAGAACTTCTAAGAACAATAGAACATGAACGAATAACCAAAAATTTTCTTTTCAAACGAGTTAAATATGATTAAAATAGCGGTTTAATAGACAAGCTTCTTGTTTCTTTATATTATTACTTTCTTATTTCCTATTTTCAATTTAAGGTTAACCTAAACCTAGTGCTTTTGTATATAAAAGTATAAATTACGTCTGTACTTGTATCAAAAGCTATGTGGTTTTCCTTCCGTCTCGCGGCCGTGAAAGGACTGAGGAAGAAGGAGATAAGGTCTGATGAATTCGAGAAACCCAGAAAGAGAAGAAGAGTCATGAATTCGAAACCCTGCGGCTTTGAGAATCTCACTGATGATCTGTTGATGGATATTCTGGCGAGATTTTTTTTTTTTTTTTGATAACTCAGGTGATCGTAAAGGCTTTCTAGGCCCAAAGACTAATCCTGGGGCCCGGGAAAACCATATTAAATTACTCAAACCCCGGTGACCAATACTACTCGAACCCAGGTGGCGGGAATTACCTCCCTTTACCACTGGGCCAAGGCGACTTGGTTAATATTCTGGCGAGATTACCGGCCAAAGAGGTGACGAAGTCAATGTGCGTCTCACAACTCTGGTATACCGTAATCTCCTCCCGTGTGTTTATCAACCTTTTCCGTAATAGACAGCGTTTGCTCCTGTCTATTGTGGACAAGGCTGATCCGCACAAGTGTGGGTTTCTCTCATCATCTTCATCATCGCCGCGTGATCACTCGGATACGTCTGTCTCTGTACTTGACCAATATCTGAAGATGCCGGGACTGGGAGGCTACGTCGTGAATGCTCTTCGTGGCTTGCTCTGTGTCAGACTTGGGAGAAGAGTGCGAATCTGTAACCTCACCACCAAGCAGCGCGTGACTTTGCCCATCATAAGATCAAGTCTTTTGGCTGAACATAGTGACAATATTTGGAGCTATTTTGGACATGACCCTGTTCATGATGAATACAAAGTTCTAAGTACAACTTGGGTGGTCACCGAGGAACAGAGAGTCAGATCAGAACATCAGGTTTTGGTACTTGGTCCTGGAGCTTCTTGGAGAAGCACCCAAAGCCGCACTCTTCCTCCTGCTCATCATCCTTTCTCACAAGGTATCTCCATCAACGGTATGTTGTATTATGGAGCCTGGCTTGAAGCCAACAAATGTTGGCTCATGAGTTTGGACTGACTTCTGAAGGAGTCAATTGATTGGAGTTACCTCTAGAGGCTGGTTTCGTCTGGCACACATATCGTGCTTAACCTCGTTAACTACAGAGGTAAATTAACTGTTTTTCGAATATTCTACACTTGAGGTTGATGCAAGTGTAGACCTCTGGTTATTGGAGGATGTGAAGAAGAAGAAGTGGTCAAAAAATACTTTGGTCTTGCCCCTTTCCCAAATGAATTTTGTCCATGGGGATCAGTTAGTGATGCAAGGCACGAGTCGCTGCGGTGAGCTCAGACTGGGTTTGAAAAATCCAGTCATGATCTCTTTTTTTCTTATAATTAAATTAAACTATATATATGCATTCATTTATTCATTTTCTATTCCATGTCAATCTGGGAAGACAAACCGTGTAACAAACAGATTCTAATGTGGGGATTGTTATGTAACAAGGAGAGGAGTTACAATTTTGCAGTTTGACTAATGGTAGGGAACCAAAACCAGCTCATATCGAGGACTTGTCGGGCAACAAAACAAAGGTCGCGTAGTTACTAGTTTTTAAAAGTTTTGTACAATAAGGCCCACTAAACATCTCAAAACTTTTGCATGGAGAAGCATTAATAAAATTCTCTCTTAACCACATGAGTGAGAAAGCTTTGGTTTGGCGTGATCATTGGATCATCCCAGCTTCTCCTCTCATGTCCTGCTCTTGTACCTGACATGGTTCCTTCCCAGTTGAATCCTAAGTTGAAGGGAAAGAATCATCATGCCCCTAATCAATTCTCTGTTTGCTAATTAATGATGATTTAAAGAATGGCACATGTTTTATATGGGAATTCTCGAATTCTGGACTATTTAGGAGCTGGAATGTGATCTCATCATGGCCGTTAGTTTGGACTTTGATTTCATTTCTAAGTTCTGTATTGAGCTTTCAGAGTTGTCTTTGAACTTTTAATTAGAAGCGCTCTTCTTGAAATGAAAAGTGATTAAGATGGAAAAGTTTAGTATGAGTTCGAATGCTTAATGATTGAAAACACCTGATGCTCGGATCTAAGCATCTCATCTTCCTTGCCCACCTCCCAAACGGTGCTAAGCACTTTGTATTCATAATAAACAGAGTCATGTCCAAAATTAGTTCCATATATCGTCATTGGCTTCAGCCAAAAGACTTGATCTTATGAATGGCAATGTCACACGTTGCTTAGTGGTTAGGTTACAGATTCGCACTCTTTTCCCAAGTCCGACACAAATCAAGCCTCGAAGAGCATTCACGAAGTAGCCTCCTAGTCCCGGCATATTCAGAGTTTCGTCGAATATAGACCTATCACCGCGATCATTGATAGACGTTGATGAAAAGAAAGCGGGTTGTTTTCCGAATATTTCATAAGGAATTATGATATCTTCTTCATATCCACTTCATTTTTAAATGATAGCAATACCTAATTCCAAAGTTCAAACATAAATAGATCATCACTAAGCAATTTATTCAATATATTAAAAAAAAATTCCACTTCATCAAACAATAAGTTATATTTTTTTCTTAAAAAGGTTAGTTTCTTAATTAGTCACTTGAAAACTGTGTGAAACCAAATTCTTTCTTTTGGTAAATGTTAGCAAGAACCTAACCAAATTAGTCCATTAGTATTGTAACTGCTTTTGTTATATCTATATTAAGTCTACTTTACTCATCCCATTTTCGAGACCTGTAGCTAGCATTCCATTATGGAGGAGCACAAGAATCTCAAATTTGAGATTGCTACTTTTACTTTGTTTTTAGTTAATACTCCTTCCGTTTCAGTTTAATTGTCGTTTTAGGATTTAAATTTTGTTTCATAATAGTTGTCGTTTTAGGTTTTCAATGCAAATGTTTGGTGAAAATTCCAGTTTTATCCCTACTGTTTTAATGTTTTGGCCAATGAAATTTTTTATAAAATATATTAATAAATGGTAAAACAAAAAATTAAATGCTTTTCTGTGTGAAAAAACCTTAAATGATAACTAAAACGAAACGGATGAGTAGCTCTTATCAGTTAACAGTTACAATTTATGAACCCATAATTAAATGACTCATTTCTCTTGTTATTGGTAAAGTCTAATCTGAGATTTACTGGAATTTATTGATTACGACATTTTTTTGGGTAGTTGTGTTATATTTATAGCTAGCCATTCATTAATTATATACAGTTCACCATTAATATCAAGTTTATATTTATGATCATAAATATATAAAACACACACATATAATAGCATTGCTGATTTTTCTCGAGTTCGAAATAACAATGTTCGTAATTTGGAATTTCTAAGAACATGAATGAGTAATAATATCAAACTTTTTCCCCTGAACGTAAAGGTATAAAGGTAATAGTCACTAAAGTATACTCTCTCCGTTTCAAAATATAAGACGTTTTGGAGAAACTTTTTTGTTTCACGATATAAGTCGTTTTCAAGTTTTTATGCAAATTATATATTACTTTAATATTTTATGATTATTTCTATTATACAGTGTCTTTTATAATTAGCTGAATTTTTAAAAAGTATATCTTCTAATTCGGCGTGCTTTTAGCTAAAACCACTTATATTATGAAACGGAGAGAGTATATCATACTAGATATGGATCCGTGCGTTGTACGGATTATAGTCGAAATTATCATTTTTTTAAAAAGTTAACTAAAATTATATAAACATCTGTTTTAATTTTAGATTTATTATGCATAATGCACAATATAAAACTCTATTTGTAGTTGTTTTATATTAATTATTAAATCTTCTAATATAAATGTTGGCCTATTTATCACCACCATTACCGCCTCTTCTCCTCTTTTTCAACTATTCTTATTTCTTCTCCTTTTTTATCTCCTATGCCATCGAGCCGAGCCTCTTTCCGACAACAACTCTATTCTATGTCCATCGCCGTTCATAATTCCTGAATTTGTCTCAATCGCCGTATATTCTTTGGATCTGAATATCAAATCCCATTTTTAGAAAACCATTGTAATTCAAAGTGATTTTATATAGAAATGACCATATATTTCCAATAAATGATAAATATTTTTTACATGATTCATATTATTTTTAAAGTCAATCTATCACCACATCTGTAACCATCAACCACAACCATCGTCACCTCCATTAATAATCACATGCTACTCCTATTTCTTTTAGTATGATATGCTATTTTATTAAATGACATTGTTTTTTCGTTTGATTTGAGGTGGATGTCTCTCTTTCGTTGTCAAAATTCTAGAATTGATTTTCTTTATTTTTAGATTTCGTGCTATTAGTGTTTATTTTTTGTTTTTTAAATCCTAAATACATGTATGTTTTGTCTTTTATTTGAGAGCTATTTCATCGCTGAAAAACATTAGTTTCTAAAGTTTTTTTTTACTCATGACTATTTTTTTAATTATTTTTAGTCAAAATTTAGTTACTAATATTATCCTAAAAATAATTTATGACAAAAAAGAGAGGAAAAACTTTACTAATAGAATGAAGTTAAAGAAATGGTGGTGTTTTTGAAGAAATTAGTTTGTTTGGTGAAAAAATATGAGACTATCTATTTTATAATTTTATAATTTCTATTTTTATGGAAAATATACATATAATTTCTTTATATATATATATATATATGTATAGTTTCCTTATAATAATATTTTTCTATTATAAAACTCTTTAAATTTATAATTTTGTTATAATTACCTTTTTACAATTTTTAATTTGTTAAAACCATTTTTTTTTTGCCACATGGTAAAATCTCTAATGGAAATATAGGTATAATTTTCTTATAGTTATCTTTTACATTTAAAATTGTTTAAATTTATAACTATCTTTTTCCTTTCTTAACTATTAAAAATTAATATTTATTTGAAACATGGCAAAATCTAAGATCGATAGATTTGACACGTGTCACGATTACGTGAGTTACTAATTTTGAAAACCATACTTTATTTAATAAGATATTTATGAGATATAAGTAAATTAAAAAAAAAAGTAACATATAGGAGTTTTGCCTTATATGATATTTCCACAAATTTTAGAAATTTCTAACTTAGAGAGAGAGTAATGGAGCTCTGGTATATCTAAGGGATCAGATTTAGACATTGATGCGTGGATCATAATTTTACAAATTTAAACGTTCAGAGACATGCACCTAAAAGTATAGTCTATGAAAAATATCTGTATAACACAATTTAACATTGGGGCTTTTGCAAAAATACTCCTTTTTCAATGCCACTTTTCAAAAATGCTCATTCTTTAAAACCTTATAAAAAATGCTCCTAAAATATAAGATTTACCCAAATATGTATGTAACATTATTAAAACATACACAAAATAAGTATCTAAAATCTTATTTGTGTATGTAACATTATTAAAACATACACAAATAAGTATCTAAACCTTTGAAAAACCTTTAAAAACCTTTAAAATATCTTGTAAAACCTTTGAAAAACTTTTAAAAACCTTTAAAATATCTTGTAAAACCTTTAAAAACACCTTATAAAAACTTATAAATACTTGGATCGAGTCTTCAAGTAATAGTTACCATCCATAAGTACCTTATAAACCTAATAAAATTTTATAAATTTTTCATATTTAAAAGGGGGCATTTTTGAAAATAGACATCTAAAAGGGGCATTTTTGAAAAGGGGCATACCAAAAGGGGCATTTTTAACAATTTCCCTTTAACATTTTCCATTTAATTGGTAGCTATGACATATCACCGTCCATATGTATTTGGCTGATATTGGGTCTAAATGGTAACCGAAGAATCTGGCTGAATCCGGCTGATAGTGATTTTTAGCTGAATCTGGCTGAATTTTTACATTTTCAAATGGTAACCGCTAGCTGAATTTTTTTGTGCTTTTCAGCATAATCTGTCGAAATAATTAAGACTTTAACTGAAATATCGTCAAATAATTACGATATTAATAGAATAACTAAGGAAAATTATCTAAATAAAATAGATAAAATTATCTAATAGTCTAATTAACTCTTATACCAAAAAATAAATACTAGAATTAATATCCTTTTAGCAAAATTGAGTTGTTCTTCCAAATCTAATTTTTGAACTATTAAAAAGATATAATTACTCAAAGTTTTATTGAAAAATTAATTTAAAAATAAACATGATAATATAGTATAGATTATCTTATTGATTTTTCAATGTTCTCTAGTAGTTTAAATCCTTAATATGATTAGGATGATTAACAATTTTTTTTTAATTTGATATTTTAAATATTATTTTAGCATAGTATGAGTTATTTTTGCAAAAATTTGGAAAATTATATTTAAGTATCTAAAATTTATTAAAATTATATAAAATTATCTATAGATATCTAAACATAAATATGTCTCTTGTCTATTCTGGTAATGATTTTATGTGTATGAATTATTCATATATCGTATTTGTATGATCTAACTTATTTTAAAATATAAATTTGATGTGTAATTTTTAATAGCCAAAAATATTTTAATTCGAGTTGTGAATCGCTATAATCCAAATTTTTATCTGAAATGAACATACTATGTATCTGTTGATGTTGGAAAAACTGTTGAATCTGGCTGAATTTAGTTTTATGCAAATGGTAACTGCGGAATTGCTGAATCTAGCTGAATATTTTTTTCATGTTACCATTTACACTCATTATTTTAACGTTCAAACCTTTAAAGATTTTTCAGATGTATATCCGAAACTGTTAAAAAATTCAAACCCCGGAAACTAGCATTCCAAGATCCCAACCCTACAAATAAACAGTCCCTACCTATTATTGAATCATTGTCCTTTTAAAGTTATTAAACTGTTTAAAAAATGAAAATAGCATAAAACAAATTATCAAAAAATAAAAAAATTATGCTCATCAGTAAAACTGTATGGAATACAGAACAGTCTATTGTTACTTTGTTTGCCCAAACACTTCCTACGTTTTAAAAATCTTTAAGAAGCTTTAGAAATTCATAGTTTCACGGATTTCGGTTTTGTTTTTTTTTTTTTTTTGAAAAAAATCATATTGTGATGGATGAACTTACCAACATCGCTCGTCTTCTTAATCGTAACAATTACATTTGTTTTTTAACAGTTCGTCAAGCTTTTGTAGTGATGGGTGTAAATACTCATTAAATGGGGACAGAGGTTAATTTTGGGGGAAAATGTTGGTTCTTTTTGACAATTCACATTGACAAAACTTCACACTTGATGTCATAAAAATGTCCATTGGAACTTAGTGGGCAACTTGACAAAACTTCATGATTACAAAAATTGATAACAAGTCGGATACTAGCATCATACTATAACATGTAATACAATTTATACAACACATATATCTACGATATGATACATGTGTAGTAGTTGACAAATAGTTATATACTCGTGTAGTAATGTAATGATTATCAATTATCAGTATTATTTTACTTCTCTTTCAAATTATTGCGAATCTTAAATATGTGTTCTTGCATTTTATCGCCCAAAGCCACAAGTTTTCTACTTGCTCCATTGTCCACTCCACACTCAAGAGCTCTGGCATATAATTAATTACGTACTTGGACAGGTTATTATTGTCACCGTACACTTATTCATTTGATTTCAAAACAAGAATCGTAATCCATGGTCATCTTTTCTTGTTTTCTAACATCAATTTACACTTCCTTGTTTGTTCTGCCTCAAAAATTTCTTCTTATATTCAGTAATGACATAACTACACATCTATAACAAGAATCGTAATCCATGCTGATACACATAGATATACCCAGGCACTCGTATTTGGACCGGCTATAGTTTCTTTCTAATAAATATATTTCTTATTTTTCTAACATCAATTTAAACTTTCTTTCTTTCTTCTGTTGTCATAACTTTCTATACTTTCTTGTTTTGCTTGTTATATATATTCAGATATGACAAAATTAATGCACTACATTTCGCATGCTCAAGTGAATTCGTATACTGTTCGAATATAATTAGTGTGGACCTACAAGTCTCTTATCTCTCATGTCGTATACTATTTTCTAAATTAACAACGAACGTTGATCATGTTTATGCATCGTCAGACCTAAATTTGTTTGTTTTTGTTTTTTTGTTAAGGATCTAAAGTTGTTTGTACAGAAAAGATCATATATTCTAATGAAAGATCAGAAAATTTGCAGTCAATATATCGTACGTACTTTATTAAAAATGAATGAAATTTAACGTGTATTTTGGAACATTCACGTCACTATCAGAGGGAGTCACGAGTGACGAAAACCTATGAAACATCTATCCCCATTCGAGTTTGGCTGATTATAACTACGCAACAAAACATATATAATCATGTTAATTACATTAACACCTGAAGATTAATATAGATAGATCCACAGACAGACAGTTAAATTACATTATTATCATCTATCCTACCATCATTGCTACGGTATCAAGACGAATAATGAAGATACCAAAGCTAAAGCTAGCTAGCTTTTTAACAAAGGAAATAACAAACCAAAGCTAAGGATAAATAAAGCATAATCAATTTTATTCCACGTGTCATTAGATGACGTGGCATATTCCCAATTAAAAGAGTTAATAGGATCACGGTAACGTTACTTCCCTAACAAACATAAATACGAGATAGATAGCTATTTATTTTCATTAATTAGCCTAGTAATAGTTATAGTAATCACGTGACGCACGTGACACATGACGGGTGAAGAGAGGGGACGCTTCGACGGCGGAAGCGGCGGCGGAGGAAACGTCTTCCCATATTTCTGAGAAGGCACGAACGATGATGCCGTGATGATAGTGTGAATTGAGGCTGAGGAAGCACTGAAGAAGCTCTCTGAGTTCATCTTTCGAGTAAATCTGGTTCTCTAGTATCATTTGAAGCATAGACTGCCGGAAATCTAGGTAAGGATCGTCGGAATCTTTCTCGACGGCGATGGCAGCGGTGGCTAGCGGTGTGGAGGAGGGTGTGGCTGAGGAGATGGAGGAGTGGCAGTGACGGTAATTAGAGGAGGGACGTTTGGGCTTTTTGGAGAAAAAGTGGAAAATAGAGGAGAATGTTGGTTTTATACAGTTGCCGCAGCTGATGTCGACAACAGAGACAGTCTTCAGGATCTTCTTCTTGCTTTTAGCCGCCATTGTTCTGACTCTGTATCTGCTAAAGACCAAGGAGGAGAGAGAAGAGGTAGAGAGATTTAGGAGGGAGGGTAGATATATATAGAGAGAGAGAACGAAAGTTTGCATGGATATGTATAAATATGTGTGCATGTGGGTCATGAAAAGGGTTAATAATTAATGTGTATTAGAAAATCTAGTTCATTAGGCTAATTTCGGGTGATCAACTTAGACCAAATATATAGTGCATGTACACTATTTTTTGTTTCTTGCTTGGTATATTTTGATTTCAACCACAAAATTTTGACAATCTGATGATCTTTGTAAAAAATGTATTCAGATGATGATACAGACATACAGTTGAAGAAAATAATGCTCCTAATGATTATAACAAGAATAACAAACTTTCAAAATTTACCAAGTCTTGATAATATTCAACATATAATAATCAAAATGTTCCGTGGGATTATGATGCATTTATGTTCCGTGGGCTTGCAAATTGGCTTGAATAAGCTAGAAACCCACTTAACAAAATATTTGTATATTATCCATTATTTTTCTTTTATTACTGAACGCTCCTCTTGTCTCGAATATCCAGACTATGGACTTCAGAATAAAGGCCATGTATAGGCCCGTAGCACTTCTAAGTTGGCCTTTATTATCAATACTATCTTTAAGAAATTCAGCAAAAGTGTATGTTCATATTTCTCATGTATGTAACTCATTTATTACGGATGTATCTTCATGTGAAGTAACTCTTTTATATATGATAAACCATAAAAACTTGTAGACTCTAGTGAGTAGTGAGTAGTGACCGATATTGTTAATTGAATTTTTGGTTATATTTTTTGGATTGCCTAACCATTCTTCCATCTGATAAACTACTGAAAATACACATGTATTAATTAACTCAAAAAACAAACAAAAAAATGTTACAGCTAAACAACATTGATCATGGAGTCTGGTGCCACTTTCAAGGCTCAAGCTGAGGCTTATTAGGTAAACGTGAACCTCAAATACCTTCACGATTTGTTCTAAAATAAAATAAAATATTGATGAATCAAGAAAAAGAAAGCAGACTGTGTAAGAATCGTTTCTCAATTCTCTCTGTTCTATGTCCTTGACTAAGCTTTAAAGATTTTCTGAGGAGATGGGAAGATGCGGAGGAGAGCATCAAAGAAGGCGGAGAAGAGGCGGAGGAAGGAGGAGGAGACACGGCGGAGGAATGAAGGGTTAGAGGAAGGAGTTGGAGTAGAAGGCTGAAGGTAGGAGCAAGCGGCTTGCTTTACAAGGCGATTGCGGATCAAGATGGTGGGAACCGAACCCGATGCAGCGGAGGGGATGGCAGGGGAATCGACGGTGGTGGAGGGGGAGGGGAGGATATCTTTGAGGGAGGTGTAACATGGAAGAGGATCATCGGAGGATTTGTTGACGGACACGAGCTCTAAGTCTAGGGTTTGTGAAACGGCGCCGTTTCTGCGTTGGAGTAGAGAAAGATTCATCAAATTTTCAGCCTCCATTTGAGAAAAGAGAGAGTGAGAAGGTTTGGAAGTAATTTGGATATGAGCTAACAAGTTTATATATCAATAATAGGCATTGATCAATCTGAATCATCACGTTATATTTTTTTCATTTAAAAGTCAAATAAGGACTATATTGTAAAGCGTGTTAATATGATATTAATATTGGGACCTTATTTTTCGCTTTTTAGAATTTAAATATATAAAAGAAACAAATTTCTTGAATGAAATGAATAGAGATGTAGTAGCAAATGCTGGATGGTTAGCAGCTGACGCTCCAATCTCGACTACTTTCTATTTTTCAAAGCAAAACAACGACCATAATTTATTTTATTTTATTTTTACTTTTAAAAATAAGTGTGTCTGCCTTTAGGTACAAATTGAATAATTGTAGTGATTTGTTTTTGGTCACTGTTTATTATATGTTTAAAAATACATAGGACACAAGCAAAGGAGTGTAAAGTAATTTATCCCACTACAAGAATTATCTAATTTTTGCTCACCAAAAAAAAAAGAATTATCTAATTTTTTATTTTCTTTTCTAACAATAGGTTCCATTTTGAATTAGTCTTTCTAAACGAAGACATTTTGTGAGTACCTGTTTCACGGAATGGGTTGAATAAAGTCTAAGCCAACATCACAAGAAAAGGGTCAAATGAAGCAGCTTTGGCCCATCTCACATGAATAATGTTTCATTGGTCACTTTTCCTTAGGTTACCACTTTGTCAATTGAGTCACCCTCCGATAAAAAGTCTAGACGTTCGTTACAAGTTATATCAACTCGTGTTATCCCAACAAAAATACTCGCACATGTTGCTTCGACCCTTTTGACCTGCAATCAGGAATCAATAATTTCCAAACAACACTTTTATTTTGTGATTGAGCCAAAACAAACGAACCTGGTCCTATCTAATTTATATGACCAGGACATTTCAAGAGAGCATCACTATAACCACCGCAATAAATAAAAAATAAAAGCTTTACTCATTCATCTTATCATCTATATAATCTGAGATGATCAGTTTTCTAAAACACTCATTTAGAGACAACGGAATATGATTCTCACAAAAAAAATTGAGAAAAAAAGGAATATGATTCTCACAATACCCACAATCAAATGCATATGAATGTCAATTAGATGAGTGTTAAAGTTAATTTTGTTAGAAATCTCACATCGAAAGTATAAACGTAGTCACAATAGGAGTATAGGACCATGAACCTTACACAATAGATATGTTCTTATCTCAAAAACCGACAATACAATATGTATACTACCACAACATAATTATTTTTGGAATAAACAAGGATTTTCAAACAATTTTTTAACGAAATGAACTAATGCAATATGTATTTGGAGACCTAAATTATATCCTTGTAATTCAATCCTTTCTCTAGTGCCTTCTGCGTAAATTTGAAAAACAATATTATACCAAGCCTCTAAGGTTAGCTACAATTTACTTTTGGTTTAGTTTAAGTTTAATGATATCAGTAGTTTTAGAGGTGAAGAAGAAATGGAAAACAGAGCATTTTTGAACTAGAAGGTTACGAGAGTTAAAACGAATGAATAGTTTAGTTCGTATACCATATAAATCAAATCCTTTGGTTTTGTATCAGAAAATAGGATATCAATATAATTCACAGAGAATACCTTATTACCCCAAAAAGGAAAAAGGAAAATATTGTTACTCTCCTATGTACTTAGGGTAACTAACTATATGCTTTTGTATATAAGAGTAAAAATACGTCTGTACTTGTGGTCGGACTTGGGTTGGAATTGACAAAGAAAACAAATTAAAAAGGGTAAAAAGGAAGATCGAGGTTCTGGAACAGATCAATCAAAAGCTATGGGGTGTTCCTTCCGTCTCGCGGCTGTGAAAGGACTGATGAAGAAGGAGATAAGGTCGACGGCTGATGAATTCGAAAGACCAAGAAAGAGAAGAAGAGTCATGGTCAAGCCCGATTCTAAACCATGCGGCCTTGAGAATCTCACTGAGGACCTGTTGATGGATATCCTGGCGAAAGAGGTGACGAGGTCTATGTGCGTCTCACAGTTCTGGGTACTCCGTTATCTCTTCCCCTGTTTTTATCAACTTATTCCTTCAATCCCCATCTTCTTCGGCGCAACGACGGCGCCTGCTCATGTCTTTTGTGGACAAGGCAGACCAGCGCGAGTATGTGTTGGTCTCATCCTCATCGTCCCCTCCTGATCACTCGGATGTCTCTGTACTGGACCAAGATCTGAACATGCCCGGAATGGGAGGCTACTTCGTCAATGCTCTTCGTGGCTTGCTCTGTGTCAGACTTGGGAGAAGAGTGCGAATCTGTAACCTCACCACCAAGCAGCGCGTGACCTTGCCCATCATAAGATCAAGTCTTTTGGCTGAAGCTAATGACAATGTTTGGAGCTATTTTGGACACGACTCTGTTAATGATGAATACAAAGTGCTTAGCACAGTTTGGGAGGAGAGCAAGAGAGAGGGCATAGTGAGATCCGAGCATCAGATCTTGGTACTTGGTCCTGGAGCTTATTGGAGAAACACTTATAGCACCATTCCTCCTCCTCCTTACTCACAAGGTATCTCCATCGATGGTGTTTTGTATTATGGAGCTTGGGTTGATAAGAATAGATGTGTGCTCATGAGTTTTGACTTGAGTTCTGAAGAGTTTAATCTGATTGAACTACCCGTTGAGGCTGGCATCATCTGGCACACGACTCGCGCGAATCTCATCAACTACAGAGGCAAATTAACTGTTTTTGAGTACTCCCGATTTGCGTCTGATGCGAGCGTGGATTTATGGGTTATGGAGAATGCAGGGAAGAAAAAGTGGTCAAACAAGACTGTGGTATTGCCTCTTTCTCAGATGAATTTTGCCCCTAGCGATAAGTTGGGGATGCAAGGCACGAGCCGTTGCAATGAGGTTAGGCTAGCAATGATAAAACGCATACCGACTACTGAACCGAGACGTTCTGTCATTTAGGACTTGGAGAAAAACAAGATAACAAGAAAACTTGAAGTAAAACCATTACCACATCTTTGGTGTATGGGAGTAAAAAAAGGTGACCAAACGACTTTTTGGGAAGATAGCGAGAGCATTATGTATTTGGAAACCTAAATGTGATATTGACTCAGAGAGTCATAGTTCTTAGCTACAACATCAATTGAAACCTCATAAGAGTTGCAAGAGGTCTAGGTTAGTTTTGAGCTCATGTCACCTACCTGACTGATTTAGGATTGAAATGTTAATATATTTGAGATTGAGAACAAGTTTATGTATGATTATGAAAATAGTAGTAATTGTACAGTGATTTATCTAGGAAAGGATTGATAATTGACGAAATTCAAATTCCACTGCTACATATTTGTTAGGCATTTATAAAGCATGAATAAGTCTGAAGTTCTTGACATTTTGAGTTTGTTATCTAGCAGACTAGACGCCTTCTGATTTCATCTTATTTTGTTCTTTCATATTTGCCCCCATGTCATAAAAGCCTGAGTGTTTATTGTGAAACAGTGATAGGACTCTTTTCAACGCAGGTTCACATCATAATTGCATTTTCCCGATCTCTTTGAAATTATGGGATTGACATATTTTTCTGCTAGCTTAAACTCTTAGAATATCTAGGGAACAAAGTGATGAAGAATACATGCCAGAGTTTTAGATTCTTAAGGATTCAAATATATTTGACACAAAACGAACCTTCTTTTGGAATACAAGATTATTGAGTAATGTTGTTATACAAGGCAAAAAAAAAATCTTTTTGTGAATAAAGTTCATAACATCAGATTAAGAAGGCTGTCATGTCAAAATTCGGATAACTTTTCTCCATTCCTCCTTTAATCTTTTAAGTTCCATCTCTTCTTGATTATGGACTTAATGTTGCGAATCACTTCTTATGAATAAATTATATACGTAATTAGTAGTATACTTCAATCGTTTATTATATTCGAAGGTACTATTTATCTTTTTTACTCAGGCGTTGAGGTGACGTCACCGTATGATACAAGATAGACCACCGCTTGTCCCACCATGTACCTCGGTTAATTCACGTGCTTCCTAATTTCCACGGACAAACATTAATCGTTTCCCTGAATTTTTTTGTTGTTATTATATTTTGTTTTTGTCCCTTTCGTTCGATGTACTTGATATTTTTTCCCGTGATAGTTCTAAATCTTTCCTCTCTTTTCAACTGTTTAAAGTTTTCTATTTGATGAATCATATTTTAAGTGAAGTTATACTTGGAATCCATTATGAAAAGGTTGTGATGAATTATGATAGATGGGTCTTTGTAATTAAAAAGCTAGAAGAACAAAAAAAAAAATAGCTCACTTGATAAAACAAGATTTCACCGTTTGCTTTTATTTGAAAGCTATATTAATATATGTATTATCAAATAAACTATACTAATATATGTATTTATTTCAAGATTTCAACACGTATACATATTTATTATCATTTGATTGTATCAATACGTGTTGTCATTATGAATATAGAAACATACAAATGCTACTTGACGGAATGTTAGCATGATAAACTTCATAATTCATTGATTCTTCCCAAAGCCGAACGTTATAGGGTTCCTCAAAGTCGTTGATTCAAAGTAATTCTAATCTCAAGAAAGAAAAACGTATCTTTTAAAAGCTCTGTTATTTGTTCTTAGTATATCACTCACGCTAGGAAAACCCTCAAGATAGCTTTATTATGAAATAAAAACCCATATCCAATAGAAAAGAAATTCGAAAGTCAATAATTTTAGAGTAAAACAACACAACTCCTAAGACAAAACAAAATAACAAAAAAAAAACTGTTAAGCATATCCGGAAAATTACTTGATGAGCCTAACAACTAACAAGGATCCTAGATGTGGGCTGCATGCCTGTATCATATCGCTATTTTATTTGAAGCATTTGTGTGTTGTTTTTATTTGTAATATACTCTTATAGACGAGACGTATCATGATTAAGGAAAGAGCATATGCACTAATTAAGTTTCATTGGTAAAGAAATGAAATAAAACCATTATCAGTAATATCTTCTTCTTCTTCTCCTCAGTGTGTAATGGGTTTTCTCTGTTTCTTCATCTGTTCTCTTTTTTTCTTTTACATGTCTTTTTCTGCGTTTCTGATTTTTGTAGTTTTACCCCGACTATACCATAGTTTTTTTTTTTTTTTGATAAAGACTATACCATAGTTGCTGGTCCATGCAACATTGAAATAAGAAGTAAAAGAAAACAAAAAAAGATTTTTTCAGTTGACTGTATCGTGTTGGTACATGTTCGTTCATATTTATAACCCTAGCTAGTTATTATTTCGCTTGACCTGTTTACTCTATTTCTAACACTTTTTACATGTGAATTTTTGCAATATCTATTTAATGGAAAGCCTTTTTTTCAAATTTTCATGCATGGGTCCGAATGGTAACAGCGTATTTGATTGTGCGGGAAAAGCGGTTCTATAGTGTGGTATGGTTCAACTGCGGTACATACGAGAGAATTGTATTTGCGGGACAAGTGCGGTTTTTATAAAATAAGCGGTACAAACTAATATTGATTGGTGAAAAAGACTATTTGCGGTACACAATAAAATATGTGAATGATAAAAAAAAAATATGTGTTATATGTTCATAAAAAAAATTATAATATTATAAACATAGAATGTATATATTATATCTATTATAATATTATTTGTATGAATTAATTAGTAATTTGTTTTTGTAAATGTTATTAAAATAAATTTTAAAAATAACTAAGTTGATTTTGTAATATATGTACAAAGTATATTTATCTATATACAAATGAAATACATAACTTATTACTATAATAAAATTTTGAATTAAGAAATTATAGATTAACAAATATGAATCATGACCCGCTTTGTATTATTAAGAACAAAAGCACTCCAAAATATAGATTAAAAACATATATCGAAAGAATAAGATGAGATTCTACAAAAATGTGATTATAATTTATTAGCTATAAGCATATCTTTGCATTAAAAAAAATTATAAGCATATTTTAATTAATCTATTAATATATGAGGAAAATTTTTTTCTACTTTTTGTATATGTGATTTTTGAAAAGATAGGTGTAATATATATATAGCAAATTTAGTAAACTAAAAAATTAAATGAAAAAGAAAAACAAAAGTTTTTACCCATTGGTCGCGGATTTCTACCAAAACCGCTGGATAAAACATGATAGGTATGTAGAATTGTGGTTCTGTGTAATATCCAGCCTCAAAATCCGCGATTTGTTGCTTTTTCATTTTTTTTAAAAACGCAAATTATTAAACATTTTTGTTGATTGGCTGACAAAAAGCGTTTTTGACTATTTGCATCTCAATTCCGCTTTTTTCAAGTCACCAATCAAGGCCTATGTTTGTTTTACCGCTGCAGTACAACTATGTTTGTTACAACTTTTTTTTTTTTTGTCAATTGTTAAATAATAAATACTCTCTCCGTTTCAGTTTAGTTGTCGTTTTAGAATTTAAATTTTGTTTCATAATAGTTGTCGTTTTAGGTTTTCAATGCAAATGTTTGGTGTAAATTCCAGTTTTATCCCTACAGTTTTAATGTTTTGGCCAATGAAATTTTTTATAAAATATATTAATAAAGAGTAAAACAGAAAATTAAATGCTTACTAAAACCTTAAACGACAACTAAAACGAAACGGAGGGAGTATCCTTACTGACTTTTATAGATTCTTCATCAATATGTGCATTAAGTCACACTGCTTTGAAAGGAAAGCCTTTAAATTATTTGTTTTATCAATGTTTGCCACTTTTAAGGTCACATAGTTTATAAGGGTCAACAAATATACATGTGGTCGATTACTCACACCTATTGTAGTTTTCAACGTGCTTTTATTTGGTCAATTGATTTATAACGTAGAGATTCATGTTACAATTTATCGATCTATTCAAAGTTATTTCAGATCATAGTGTAGACGAATCTCATCTGATATTCTGGATCTTACTATATATGGTTGTATAAAAAATTTAATCAGTCTGAAAAATATTGTTAACCAAATCATCCTCTGATAAATATATACAGTACGTAGAAGAGTATTCAGAGATGATTACTTAAATTGGTGTATAATCTAAAGTATAGAACTTGAATTGAACGGAGAAAAACTCCATTCCTTAAAAACACAGACAAAATTTATTCAATTAAAGCAATTACATGTAGATTGGTTAGAGAAGGTATGCATTAATAAATATGCATCACATGATTTGTAAATATGGTTAGTCCCTTGAGCAATCACATGGCCAATCAATCAAGCCAATTGATTGAAAAATAGGTCGATTGTAATTGCCCACAATTCTCTTAATTGTTTTTTTTTTTAATATAGTTCGTATTTTTTAACGATATATGCATGCTAAATTTTTTTTATAACTTGAATGACGTGTAATCCTATAATTAGTATTTGGATTTCAGTATTTGTATCTCATAAACCAATATAATGTACATCCACAAATTCGATACCATTGGCATTTTCTATAAATACAAATATGTATTGGCTGGCTCTCTATCATGTCGACGATACAAATTACAAAATTCATTTCCACGTATAAAATTCCTTATATTAGTAAGTTTCCTAGTAAATACAGACCCATTTGTAATTTTGTTTTTAATTTTTTTGTGTAAAACATTTATAATCCAAAAAAAAAAAACATTTATAATCCCATTTAATAATGAAGAAGAAAGTCACAGAGATCGAACATGATTCTCCACTTTTTTTCCACTTTCCACTTCTTTGTCTTCTTTCTTCTCCTTCTCACTTACTTAACCCATAAGCCATCAATCCCAAAAACACCACAACTATGGCTTCTTCTTCTTCTTCTTCTTCTTCTTCTTCTTCTCCTCCTCTCTTCTTCTCCTTCTTCCTTATCTTCCTCTCCGTCGTCTCCGCCGTCAAACTACCTCTTTCTCCCTTCTCCCACTCCGACCAATCACCAAAAGATCCTTACCTCTCTCTCCGTCGTCTCGCTGAATCCTCAATCGCTAGAGCTCATAAACTCAAACACGGCACCTCCATAAAACCCGACGAAGAAGCTCTCTCCTCCACAGCCACCGCATCCGCCACCGTCGTGAAATCTCATCTTTCACCTAAAAGCTACGGCGGTTACTCAGTCTCTCTCAGCTTCGGCACACCGTCGCAAACAATCCCATTCGTTTTCGATACCGGAAGCAGTCTCGTCTGGTTCCCATGTACCTCGAGATATCTCTGCTCCGATTGCAATTTCTCCGGTTTGGATCCGACTCAAATCCCTAGATTTATCCCAAAGAACTCTTCCTCTTCCCGGGTTATCGGGTGTCAGAATCCGAAATGTCAGTTTCTATTCGGAGCCAATGTTCAATGCAGAGGATGTGACCCGAATACCCGAAATTGCACCGTCCCTTGTCCACCGTACATTCTTCAATACGGATTAGGATCAACGGCTGGGATTTTAATATCCGAAAAGCTTGATTTCCCGGATCTAACCGTACCCGATTTCGTTGTCGGATGTTCAGTTATCTCCACCCGAACACCCGCTGGTATCGCCGGGTTTGGGCGAGGACCCGAATCGCTTCCTTCACAAATGAAGCTCAAGAGTTTTTCTCACTGTTTGGTTTCTCGCCGGTTCGACGATACCAATGTCACCACCGATCTTGGTTTAGATACCGGGTCGGGTCATAAATCCGGTTCGAAAACTCCGGGTCTCAGCTACACGCCGTTTCGGAAAAATCCCAATGTCTCCAACACAGCTTTTCTCGAGTATTATTACCTCAATCTCCGGCGAATCTACGTCGGAAGTAAGCACGTGAAGATTCCGTACAAGTTTCTCGCGCCGGGAACTAACGGAAACGGAGGATCCATCGTTGATTCCGGATCTACATTCACATTCATGGAGCGACCCGTTTTCGAGCTAGTAGCTGAAGAATTCGCGACACAAATGTCGAATTACACTCGTGAGAAAGACTTAGAGAAGGTCTCAGGAATTGCACCGTGTTTTAATATCTCCGGGAAGGGAGACGTGACGGTGCCGGAGCTGATTTTTGAGTTTAAAGGTGGAGCGAAAATGGAATTGCCGTTATCGAATTACTTCTCGTTCGTTGGGAATGCTGATACTGTTTGTCTCACGGTGGTGTCCGATAACACCGTTAATCCCGGCGGCGGGACTGGTCCGGCGATAATTCTGGGAAGTTTCCAGCAACAGAACTATTTAGTTGAATACGATTTGGAGAATGACAGGTTTGGGTTCGCGAAGAAAAAGTGTAGCCCGTGAGTTTTCAGGGGTAAATTTGGAAATTTAACTTTTTTTTAAACGATGAGATCAATTTTTATGATTTTTAATTTCTTTTTTCGAAATAAAAGAAAAGGGTGTTAAATCTATATATCTATATATACATTTTTGGATGACTTTTAGCAAATAAATCCTGGAGTTGGAATGTATTTACGGATGAATGCCATTGGCATTAATTATTTAAATTTGAAAAATATTAATTAAAGATATTACCAACACGATTTCGAGAATCATAAATTCATATCTTCCTTAATTTTCTGAGTCATTAATGTGATAATCTTTAGGAAATATTTCTCTGTAAAAAAAAAATCCACATTAATGAAGGCATTAAAATCGACACTAACAATTAAATTATGAGAAATTGTTAAAAATGCCCCTTTTTCAATACCCCTTTTCAAAAATGCCCCCTTTGAGAGTCCATTTTTAAGTTTGTCCTCTTTTAATTTTTAATGACCATTTTACCCTTATTTGAAACAAAATTAGGTCCACAAAATACAAAATATTTTTTGGCGGGAAAAGTGATCCTGCAATTTTCCCGCCAAAACACTTGTAAAAACCTTTAAAAAACCTTGTAAAATTTTTCCCGCCAAAAAATTTTCCTGCCAAAAAAATTTTTTTGCGGGAAAAGTGATTCCGCAATTTTTTTTGCGAAATTTTTTTGGCGGGAAAATTTTTGGCGGGAAAAATTTACAAGGTATTTTAAAGGTTTTTTACAAGGTATTTACAAGTGTTTTGTAAGGTTTTACAATGTATTTTAAAAGGTTTTACAAGGTACTTTAAGGTTTT